CACGCACCCACGCACCCACGCACCCACGCACCCACGCACACACGCACCCACGCACCCACGCACCCACGCACCCACGCACGCACGCACGCACGCACGCGCGCGCGCACACGCACACACATGCACACACACACACACACACACACACATATTTTGCAAAGGAAAAACCACCTCCGCAAATTCGTATGACCGCTCAAGGCGACTGCCTCCTCTTCTTGAAGCGAACCCCTTACCCCAGGCCTCACGCAGTAATGAGGGTTGCTATATCCGATGTCCCTACCTGAGCTCCTTCGTGGTCCTGTGCAATGCGAAGTTTAACCAAATCATCGATTTTCTCAATGTTCGCGTTTCAGAAATTGTCACCGGTCCTCTGCTCCTGGGAACTGTTCCTCGACAGTACATCGCTCGACGAGGCCTGTGTCAAGGGCAACATTCAAGAGGTGTGGCCTGCACTGCATGACCATGGATGATTGAGCAATTTGTGCCAACAGCACATGACGCTGCGTAGTCACATGCAGGGGCTTTTCTTCTTTTGTTTGGCAACTGCAGGTACATGACCTGATCTTGAAAGGTGCCAACAAGAATGCGCCTTTAGACAAGGATCTCAAGACGCCGCTTCTTGACCAAAACACATGTCGGCAAGTTTTTGCCTGATGTTGCGTGACGTTGCGTGCTTCTTGAAGTGACTTTTCCTGCCGGTAGAAGCTAAGGCTGATGATAGCTTGCCAGCTTGGCTGGCGGTATGCTCAGTATTGAAATTCATGGGATTGCCTCACATGAACATGCATTCAAGCTGGCAGGTTTCACTTGGTGAAGTGGCTGGTTGAGTTTGAGGGGGTGGACGTGGATGGGCCGATGTCTAGATGTGGTTTCAGAGCCATCGACTATGCTGGGAAGGCGAACCTCCTGAGTTAAGTCAAATTGTTGACGCCTGGTCCAGCTCTAACTGGACTCTGCTGAAGGGTGCCATCTGTGCCAGGAGCAGTTCCGTTGGCCAAACGAGGAGGCCTGGCAGAGAGTTCTTAACGTTTGTTTCGCAAGATTGTGTTTGTACCCCCAGGTAGAGATTGCAGATTACCTCAGGAGCATTCGGCTTGCTGACAGTCTTGAATCCTTGGGTGTTTGCTTCTGCTCTAGGACCATGGGCTCCAACTACACATGGTGGGGCGCCTGTTTTTCTGGTGACATTCAGCGCATCGACGAGTATCTTCAGAATGGTCAGGAGTCTGCGCATGGTTGATGTGAAGCTGCACTGCTTGACGGATGTTCCTCTGTTGTCCATGTCTGGTCAGAAGTCGCTTGTGAGCGCTACGCTTCGAAAGAGCCAAGCCACCTCTCATCATCTTAGTCAGAATGTCTGACGGGGTCTTGCGAGCCAAACTCCGCAGACCCCTGTGATCGCACCACGTGCACATGTGCATCCGAGCTGAGTCTCAGCTTGTCCTTCATTGTCACAGGCTTGAGACAGCTAAGCTGCTTGTCGCTAGTTGTCAAGCCCCTGAAAAAAGCACAGCACCTGAAAGCATCTGATGACCATGAAGGTGATGCTACCCGTTATGGTTTGCAATGCTGATATGCTGAAAACACATAATCCACAAGCCACATACTATGCGGGTATGTGAAGGTTGCCCAGATCCGTTTCGTTCCGTGATCAGTTTGGACATTAGCCCGACCCGTTGCCGTCCAACAAAGTAATTCATTAATTAGTTTGGACATGGATATGGTCACCACTAACAATAACGTATCATGCAGTGAAACAAAATGCAACCAGGATCCGAGAGGGTTTCCTATGGGCCCGTGGGTTTGTCAGCCCAGAGCTTTTCTTCAAGGATGCCAGGATGCCAGGATGCGAGTCTGTCGAGGTGTACCTGCTTTGCAAATTCCTTTACCTGCCAAAGCCCGATTCCGTGCGCAAGATTGCGCAAGGATCGCACACGCCCACATCGTTGCAGTGCCACTTGTGAGGACATCAATGAGATCAACCCAGCCCTCTGGAATTACAATGCTGTGGATTGCCGTCGCCTTAACAGTATTTCCCAGCCATAGTTTCAGCATGTTTCAGCCACGCTTCTTCCAATCGCATTTCAAGGCGCCATGCACGGTGGATGTGGCAAAGCCGCGCAGTTTCTCGTTGCCCGCGGTGGCATCATTACGGTAAGAAACTGCAACTCGGATGCAGAGGGCCTTCAGCGATGGCAAACGACAATACTGGAATGGCTTGGGCTCAGCATGCTCCGCCGACTCCATTCGTGTGCCTGCAGGTCACATTCCTGTGTGGGACGACATGCTTTGGAGCATCGGGCGTGGCGATGCTTTCATGTACAAGGAGCCTCCGATGCGCTGTGGCCTTTTTAGCCAGCTTGGAAGAGAGTGTCATGTCCAACTTTCTGCCAGTGGCCGATGTACGCAAAGATTGTCACGACTCTTGTCTATCGTGACATGTGTGCGTGACCGCAGGAGTGGGGCTTGGAAGAAGGAAGCTTCACCAAACTCTGAGCGCATCCCTTCAAGAGTTCTTCCTTGGATGGAGCGATCGCTGGTTTAGCTGGTCGCCTGTAAGAAGTCCATTTGTTCTAGGTGTTTACCTGCACATGTTTGAGGAAGGGGGGGCTAGTGGTACTTGATATTTACCGGAGCCATACTAAAACATACTAAAGCTGTGGGTTAGTTTCGCAAACCGACATCTGTCAGAGCAGCTTTGCAAAAAGAGCCGAAGCCACCAGACGGGTCTGACAAATGCCTCCACTTGCTTTTACATTCGTACAAAACAGATCATGCTGCCTCGGATCGGAATCAGGAAGCGTAGTTGTGCTTTTTCATGGCCGAGCGCAGATGAGCACATTTCCGGGCCTTTGCACCGAGAATTTGTATGAACACAGTCCAATTATTTGTCATCAGCGGTCACTTCCTCAGGTGGGGCATAATGGAAGCCCAAAAAGATGTTAGAATGCGGTAGATCAATGTAGATCACTTGCGGAACTTGCTCTCATGCGTGTGCTCTATGTGCAGTCCAGGCAACCACACCTCATTTCACGACGCTTTCTCCATCATGCTCCAGCTGCTTGCGCTCCAAGGAAGTTCACAAGGTGTTGAAATCAGCCGTCTACATTCTGATCGTTCTGTTTCTGGCGTCGAAGCTGCCAGAAGAGGCTCCTGGGCTCTTGCCGCAGCTGTATTCCAAAGAGACGGCGCCTACTCTGCGCACTCCTCCGGAGCGGTGCCGGCTTTAATGTCAGTGTTTTCAAAGTTGCGGCTTTGGCAAGATTCACTTGCGGTGCTGCGTGAGGTGCGAAAGGCGACGAGGGGAAGGGCTGTATTGATCAGTAGTGCAGTTCATGGGTGAACAGCAGTAACAGCAGTAGCGTAATGCCCGCATCTCCCCAAACAGGCGTCCCTGCTGCTGCAACGGTTGCAATATGCTGCAATGCCGGAGGTGTCTGTGGAAGTGAACGTGATCATCTTCAGCTCCAGCCTGGCAAGCTGCTCCAAGATTGGCCTGTGGACAGAAGCGGGATGCCTTCTTGAAGAGATGGCCCAATTTGGTGTCTCAAGCTCTGCATGGACGTGGAACCCAACCATCACAGCGTGTGGTCGAGGTCTGCATTGGCAGCACGCGGTGGCGACCCTGGCTCCGGAGATTCTGCACCATACCTCTCTGTACAGCAACACCTTCAATGCTGTGATCAGTGCGCTTGCCACCAGCAGAGTGTGGTACGCGTCTTTGGATAGTTTCAGTGCCATGGAAACACTACGTGACCTGGCTATATTTGATATGGTCAGTTGCAGCATGCAGGGTGTTCGAGTTTGCTCAGTGTTGAATGCTAATCCACCACCCTCTGGCGTTTCATGTCGAGGAGTAGCGCCGGATATGACAACGTACACATCAATTGCTGACAGCGTCGGAAGCAATCTTTACTGGACAAGAGCCCTGCAGCTGTTTCACCAGCATGTCCAGAGCGGGTTACGGATGGATGCTGCCAGTGTGAATGCGGCTCCCTCAGCTTTTATTTGTACTGTGTGCCTGTACATGTAAACCGTAAACCGGTGGATGAAAACACAAAATCACATGACACAAGCTACAATCGGAACGGCCCTGAAACATGTGTTCAGGTCCATGCTATGCACATTTGGTGGCTCCCCAAAGCACAAACTTCCACTTTTTGTGCGGCTCTCAGAGCATGAGTTTCCACATCTTGTTTGACTCTCAAAGCGTGGTAGTGGAAACATTGTGGAAACATAGTGGCAACTCGGGCCGGCATTCTGGAAACTTGTGCGGAAACTTTGTCGAACAAGTCTTGACCGAGTTTCTGCAAACGTTTCCACCCAACCCGCGCCAGTTTTCAGAAACGTTCCCGGCACACCAAGCTTGACTTTCCGCAAAGGTTTCTGCCAACTCGGCCCAGTGAAGCTTACGCCCTGTTGCATTGAAACTGAGGCCCGTGGCCTTGTCCCAAACAGGAAGTATGATAAACGTCTCCGGCGGCGGCACACGATGATGCAGTCAAATTCTGTCATCATAGCATCGTATTTTGACCGAAGCTCATTTTCCATCACACCTGGTCTAACCTAATCTAATCTAATCTAATTCCAACATAACCTAAACGAAGCAAACCTAATGTTATTACAACAGGTTTTTCTTCACTCAACAATAATCACTTCAGCATCGAATAGAACAGAACAGACTAGAATAGTACATGATAGAAGAAGTATTTGTCATACATCTGCGGTATTCTTTCACGCATACCACAGACACCACATATATGTATGTATATAATATGTATGTAAATATACTCCGCATTTCTTTTCACGTTTATGTTATGCACCTCTCTTGGTGTGTTTATCGTGTGTACCTTTAGACTGCACTAGCTTATCCTTCTCATGATTTTGAGGAGGAGGCTCGACCGATGATACGCGTTTCTTTTTTGATAAGGCGGCCATCAGTGCATGTGAGAAGTCGTCGATGTGGCAACATTCCTTGGGTTTGCTTTCTAAAATGTCCGGGTGGCAGCTGAGCAGGCTGGGCTCGGCTTTTCCCGTGTGGTCCTCAAACTTTTGCACATGGATGGCAGGAATGCTGGCAGCTATAACGGTGCCATCAGTGCCTGCGGGAAGGGATTCGCATGGAAGATTGCTGTTGCACTTCTCAAAGAGATGGAAGCCTGACTGCACTTTGAGACAACAAGCTCGCAGACATATGCCGCACGTAGGATCGATAGCTCGGGACTGGCTTCATTGGCTGCTGCAGTGTAAGGCACAGTCTCCACTGAGCCCTGATACAATATCTTTCAACGCAGCTTTAAACGCCTGCGACAAGAGTGGCCAATGGGTCCTTGCTATCGACCTTCTGAGAAGGATGCAGCAGGATGTTGTTCGAGCGGATGCTGGGGTCTTAGCTGCCATGCTAGCCTTTGCCATTTGCAGAGCTCGTGCTAACATAGTTCTCAATGCTGTGGCTGATGTCTTCCGGCCTAAGGCGATCACATATACTTGTGTGTTGGGTGCGTGCGAACACTCTTGTCGCTGGGAGCTCATGCACTGCCTCCTGCACACGGTTATTGACGGAGGTTTCGATGAGTGGACACGAACAGATATTGACTATGTGCACTACTACCAGGCTGGAGCGCCAGCAGACTGCCTGAAGCATCTCATCCTCTGCGCACTGCTTGAGCATGTCGTACAAGATGCGGAGTCATTCCTTTACATTGACACGCATGCTGGTTCTGGTTTGTACGACTTGAGATCAGAAGAGGCCATGCGATTTGAGAACTACCGCCATGGCATTGACATCCTGGCGAGTTGGGAACACACTACTGCTCTTCGCACTATGCATGGCTTTTTCAGCACGCTGCGGAAGACGAACCTCGCATTGGGAGAGGAGTCGCTTCGCTACTACCCTGGTTCACCAGCCATCGCCCAAAGCTTCCTTCGGCCTCAAGATTCAGCCTTGCTTTTCGAAGCGTCAAGAGAAGTGAGCAAGGTCCTACGAGACAGCCTCTTCCAGCTTCGAGAAGACGTGGCAGCAAGCGTTCTTTGCGCAAATTCTTATGAATGGTTTGCAAATTTTGCAGGAGGCCAAGAAGTGTTGCCAGTTTTGCCCTCTTCACCTTCGAGGGTCGCAGCTCTGGTCGACCCACCTTACGACTCTGCAAGTTCCTCTGATAAATGGAACTTGTTTCTCGTGAAGCACTTGACAATCAAATGGCCTTCCAGCTGCATCTTGCTGTGGTGCCCCTACATCTCTGACCTGCAAATGAGCCTTCGCCTGCTGACTAGGTATCATGTGCAAGAAGGACATGTCGCAAGAATGCTGCTGTGTCACAAGCTGCCAACATACTCTCGTACCCAGGACTCGCTTTCAGCATCGTCTCATCAACTTACAAGTGGGCGAGATATTGGCAGCAGAAATCAAAGTGCTCACTGACAGCTCCTCCGGAGATGTGATAGAGTCAAGGCAGGCACGCACACCCACGCCCATGGCTTAGTGGTTGCTTTGCTTTTCAACCTTGTTGCATCAGTGTTGCAGGTCAGCCGTGCTGGTTATTAACCCGCCTTCGGCATTTGACGAAAGGCTGAGCCTGGTTTTGGAGGAATTGCAGCAAGCTCTCTCTAAGGGTGAGTACTGCTGCGCAGCATCGACATCTTTGCATTGGCTCACTGAAAATGGTTCTCGTCGAGTGATGTTGGGTGGAGACTGCACACTTGCAAGCTCAGACTCTTTCCCTGGCAAGAATATCAGGATGTACTCAAGCGTCCTGAAAAAGTTCTCGCTTTCTCTCTCTCTCTCTCTCTATCTCTCTCTCGTCACCAAGAGTTCATATGCCCACCACGAGGCTGAGGCCTCGGCGGGGACAGAGCGAGCTCTGCGCTTGCAGACACGCCCTTTAGCTGCACCATGTCACCATGGCTCAGTGTGGCTACATGTGGCTATTCTGTATTCGCACATGGTTGCCGTCTTGTGCAAACTTGGATTCAGGTGGACATGCATCCATTTTTGGCGGCTTGATCTGGAACTATTCCTGGTGCTGCTGGCTTGTTTCTCATCACGCGGCTGACAGCATTGTGACAGCACGTGAACTTCGCAACAGCTGAAGGCCATTAGTCAATGTGCTCCTTGGCACGACTCCGCGAGGTTGGCAGGCCCCTGCCGGGGTGGGCCGATGTTCTTCAATGACCTCCTATCGTGACACTCTAGTGACAAGAAGAAAGGTCCTGCTCCAGCCACCCTTCGACACCACCACAATCCTCACCTTCATCAACGGGAAGCAGTTCTATTTGCTGGGCCCTTACTAACCGAGCAACATGCCACGCCCATACTCGGCAGCCGAAAGAAGGCGTTTGCTGCATGCCCGAGGCGCAGAATTGAATTCACATCCCCTTCTGAGAACAGTCTCGATGGGCAAAGCTAGTGCCCCAGCCAGTGGTTTCGATCCTGTGCCCAGATGAGCCGAGCCTGCGATAGGTTTCGATATGGAGATGCAGCTTGTGCACAATGCGGCGCCGCACTGAGATTCGCAGCATATGCTGCGTTGGAGTGCACTGAGTGGGAGCAAGGTCAGTCAGGAAAACGCCGGGCCGAGTCAGTAAAACATGTGCAATACAGCGGTGGGCCGAGTCGGAAAACGCTAGGGACGAGTAACTGGCCGTTGTCGGGCTGACGCCTTCTTTTTCGGATTGTTGCTTTTGGTTTTAGGCTGGAGCCTCTGGACGCGACCGTGACCAAACTTTTCTTCTGATCCGGTAGTGGTTGCGTTCGACGATTCGAAGCCGTGTTGCGTTTTCGCACTGGGCCTCATTCGTGTTCCACTCGCACGTTTTCCGACTGACGCCTGCGCGTTTTCCGTGTGTTGCTTTCGAAAATTTGCAGCGAATCTGATGTTGTTTCGGTCTTCTGTGTTTTTCTGACTCGGCCTCCGCGTTTTCTGATTTAGTCCTCTGCATTCGGAATGCGCTGGGGACGTTCTCAGACTCGGTCCTCTGATTCAGCCTCCTGCCGCACTGAGTCGCTGAGGCTATAGATAGCCAGCTCCTTGTCACGTCCGTGTTCCTCAAGGCCCTGGCCAGCCTTTTGCGTTCATGTTCATTCGCTGTGTGTATGCGTATAGAGCACAAGGGAAGAGTAGTGTCTACCCGGGCACGCACTGCTGCAGGAAGTACATGTCATTTTTTCCTGAAAGTGCTTGGGAGAGTTTTCCCATCAGTTGCAGAGATGATTGATGCTTGCGATGTTGGCCAGGTCGGCAGAAACAGCATCGCATTTGTTTCAGCATGTCCGACTGCGGTTTCTCCTCAAGACAGCAAGAACTATAGTTTTGCAATGATGAACCCTCTAAAGTAGCAATGCTCTCGGTGCATGTGGCGTGTCATCGTCGCGACAGTCGTAGCGGTAGCCGTCCTCGTTCTTGGACGCCAAAATGTCAGCAATCACGTTCAGGTGGCCGCTGTGTCGTAGTCGGCTTCCTGGTATAGCTGTCGCCGTTTTGGGGCTTTTGCATCTTCATGGCGTGTCAAAAGTGTCAACAGTCCCCGCGGTCGCTGGAGTATGCTGGAGTCGCTGTCACCATCCTCACAACTGTTGTCGTTTTTCCCGAAAGCCCGCGAAAGTCTTCTTTGAGTGCGAATATAACATGCTCAGATGGCGATGATGATGAGGAGGACCACCATGACAGCGATGAGGGCGATGACTGATGATGATGGTGATGGTGATGATGATGATGATGATGACGGTGGATGACTATGGTGATAATGCCGATGTCGACGCTCTTGATTGGTTTTCGCTGTGGGTCATTCGCCGGCCAGCTCAATGTAGTTCAGTACTCAGTACCACGCTTTATCGGTCTCTTCGTCGCATGCCCCGTGCAGGTAGGACTTGTGGAGGGCAATGAATATCTCAACACGTGTGACCCTCGAGTGATCAAAGATGTTTGACAAGATTCCCAGTTTGGAGTTCGTCCATGGCCACATGGGCCTCAGGTTTTGGCCGCAATTTCCGCCCACGCTCAGCGAAGATGGGTGCCGTCCTTGTTTGTGCAAGCCGTCAGCGTATTTGATGATGTGCGCCCAATACCTTGGCCAGGGTTCCAGCTCAGATCGCAAACCCCTTCTATGCTCTGCCAGGCGTCACTCCAGCTTGTGTCCGTATCGTCCCCTGGCCATTTTTTTGTGTGCGTGGGGGAGCTATCAGGAGACAGGTCGCTCTACGCATTCAATGGCAGCTCGACGGTCCCTCCCTGCGGGACTGGCACCAATTGCAAGGGCTACGAAGTAGCTGCATGTAGCTGCAGCGTGTCGACGACGTAGTACAGCAGCCTGGCCCCTTGAGCTTTCGATTGTCTTCGAGGACGAACACGATCTGGATGGTCTTCAAGGAGCCGCTGATGATTAGCAGGGCGCAGCGTGATCTCTACAGGGCCGCGCCTCGGCAGCGTCCGCCTGTCGGCCGGTTTACACCTATGCCTATGCCGCCTATGCCTGTACTATTGTTATGACTTCGAAGCTGTGGTGGGAGGCACTAAACTTGAGCGCCCCGTCGGGCTTCCTGCGCTTCGCACCGCCCCTCGCATCTCCACCAGCAGGCCAGGGCAGAGACCGCTACTGTATGCTTCATTTATGCAATTGAAACAGAATGCTTATGAATGCTTGCTTGCTGAAGATGAGAGCAGGCGTGCTCCTGTGGCATGCTCCTGGAAAGGTGTCGTGCAGCCCTGGAACGCAGATTTGGGCATGAATACTCGGACATGAACTCAGGCGTCTATGATTGTTGCCTGCTTGGATCTCCGCATGGATCTTTTCATCTTCTGTCAATCCTGTGTACTCAGGCTTCCGCAACCTCAGGGGTCGCGGCAGGCCTGCTGGTGCCACATTCCGAGCGTGGGCTACGCATGGCTAATTTGTGCAGATGCGTGGGCAGGTTCTGTTCTTTCCCATGTCGAATCCGCCAAGTCAGCTTCAGACTCGTTTTTTTTTTTTTTTTCTGTTCTTTCTGAATGTTTGCTGAGCTCTCCGGGCTTTATGGGTTTTGAATGAAGACCCTGAAGTTGCGCGCAGCGTTCTGACTCAGGATGCCCTTTGATGTGACCAGCGGCCATTTCTGGGCGGGATTCTGAGACCAGACTGTACCCAGGATTCTCACGGGATTGCTGCAATTTTGCTTATCTTATCTTAACTTGCTAACTTGCACTCGTTTGGAAGCTGTCGTGCGCCGTGGCAAGGGCTTCTTCGGAATTGGCCTGCTGCTCCTCTCGGTTTTCATCGGCGTTGGCCTTAATCTGGCATTGCAGCAGAATCAATGCTGCGCAGCCCGAATAGAAACTCAGTCCCGTAAGATAAGGGTTTTAGAGGCCACTTCGACATTGAAGTTCAGGAGCTAACCATGCATGGCACTCCTGACAACTTCTTCAGTGACATCACTTGCAGCCCAGAATTGGAATCAGGCCTCTTGGCTTTGGCTTACTTGCTATGTTCTGGTGGCGCGCGAGGCTTAAATACAGCGATCCGGTAGCGGTAGGCAAGGACCAAGCACCTGAAAGAGTATTCTCCGAGGCGCGCGCCAAAGCCCGTGCTCGGAGTAAGGCCACTCGAAAGAGCCCAGGTATTGTTCAGTGTGAGTCATCATACCCATTGACCGTGCACAAGGAAGTGTATAACCGCAGTGAAGACTTGGCTGAGGACTAAGGGGCATGCTTTGGATCAGTTGTGAAGCTCCGTTGCAAATGCTCTCGGAAGGACCAGCAGCCGTTGTACAGGCCATGCCGTTTGCAAGCTCGCTAAGTTGAAAGGCGTAAAGGAACTAAGACTATACTCTGCAGCTGGCACAGATCCAGGTCATCGGAGCCACCCTTGCAGACGCAGTGCTGGCCCTAGGGGTGCACGGGACTTTGAGTTCGTGCAGCTCCCTCCCTGCCAAAGCTGGTTTTCTTACCCACAAGTCGTGCCAGACAAAATCTCACCCCAGATGCTCTGAAGTTCTCCATCGACAAAACTTGCTGCTGATGCATTGAGGAATCTAGGATCTAGGCTCCTGTGCTGCACGAACAGTGAGCTGCGCTGGTAAGACTATCGTGCCAAGCTTGTGCGCAGCTGACAGTCCAACAACGATGTGTCTTGCATTCTTGCGAGAGTTTGAGCTCTTGTGATTCCTGTTGATTAAGGATGCATCGCATGCCTATGCCTGTGCCAACGCAGCCGCAGTGGCCATCGAATGCTGGCAGAGGCAACCTTGTTGGTGCAAGATCTTTTCGGCATCTTGTGTTTGTCCCATCTGGTGCCACTACCCAGGCATGATGACCCGGCCCCAGATGCCTCAGATGTCCGGAGCACGGGCGTCAGCTCCCGAATGAGTTATCGAATGAGTGCACATGGAGTGCTTGCTCATGCTGGTTCAAGAGTCAGCAAACATCTTGTTCTGCCAGGCCTATGTTAACGCAGCCCATGAACTTTGGCGGCGCGCCGCAAACGCGCTTTGCCATGCGCCATTAAGAGCAAATGTAAAGCAGGCCCTTGACAAACCTGGGCTTGAGAAAAAAAGCTTCAGAAGGATCCATTTATGCCGTGCGAGGGCGCTGAGAGGGTGCGTGCAAGGTGCTGAGAGAGAGAAGGGACAGTGAGATGGAGAGAGAGAGAGAGAGAGAGAGAGAGAGGGAGAAAGAGTAGTAGACACTCAGTAGGCCCTCATCATAGGGCGACACGGAGTGAGGCTAATGTCTGGCCTGTCGGGGCGGCTCTGCAAGGAACGGCCAGGAATAGGAGGATGGATGTGAGAAAGATTGGCGTGGAGAAAGAGAGTGAGGGCTATGGGACGGGAGAGGCAAGGGATTCGGGAAAGGAAAGGACATGGACTGGCATGGATGCCGCCATGGGTCCGAAGCAGCCAAAGGAGTCAAACTGATGGGACGCATAAGGCAAAGTGGAGATGAAGATGGAGAAGCAAGGAGCTATGGAGAGTCGCCCCGACGGGGAAGCAGCGGACAGCAGAAGTCATGCCAGAGCCCATGTGGACGAAGGATAAGATTGGCAGAGCTGATCGTGGTGGCTTAGGGAAGCAGCTTGGGGACCCAACGCATCCAGGCACAAGCTCGAAAGGCAACATAGCAGCCACCGCAGCGCGAACAAGACCGAGCTCATCTGGGGGGGGCCATGGGCTGATGGGCGACGTGGGGACCACACGGACAACGTAAGAGGGCCAGATCTGGGGGTCCAAGGCGAGAGCCGGCTCCGTCACAACCCTGGTCTCCGAGTACAGCAGAATGCAGCTACGCCGTTCCACATCGGTGGAGGTTAAGATCGAGAATTAAATGGACCCAGGAGATGATCTCGCAAAAGGCACTGGCAGGGAAAGAGCGCTGGAACCCAGAGCGGAAGCGCGGAGGCTACCTGCGACACAAACGCACACCCGGAAGGAGGAGTGGCAGGCGCAGGGGAGTCGTGCCCCTGTGCCGGGGATACGCCTGCGCATGCTGACAGATAAGAAGATGCATCTAGAGTTGGTAAGATGCTACAACAGCCAGGGCGGAAGCCACGCGTGGCCTACGATGGAGAAGATGACGATGCCAGCAGCGGGTGGGAGGAGAGGAGGAGGAGGAGGAGGAGGAGGAGGAGGAGGCGGAGGAGGAGGAGGAGGAGGGAGGAGGAGGAGGAGGAGGAGGAGGAGGAGGAGGAGGAGGAGGAGGAGGAGGACCGGAACCGCGCGAAGCGTGCAGACGCGTACACCGGAGCCGGACCACGGACTTCCAGGTTTATGAAAGAAAGAGTTATGCGAAAATGCGTGTGTGTGTGTGTGTGTGTGTGTGTGTGTGTGTGTGTGTGTGTGTGTGTGTGTGTGTGTGTGTGTGTGTGTGTGTGTGTGTGTGTGTGTGTGTGTGTGTGTGTGTGTGTGTGTGTGTGTGTGTGTGTGTGTGTGTGTGTGTGTGTGTGTGTGTGTGTGTGTGTGTGTGTGTGTGTGTGTGTGTGTGTGTGTGTGTGTGTGGGCGAGCAACAGGGTGAAAGTGAGAGCGGTTTTTCGGGCTAAGGGTGTGACCACGATCCCGGTTACCACGTCCCCGAATTTGAAAGACATGGGAACCACGTTCCAGGGCCAGCTGCAGGACTCGGAAGCAATGGGGTTACCACTGACCTTGGACTGTTTCCTTCATCGAAAAACATGGCATAGGGGTGTGGTCCTGGCCTTCCCTTCCAATTCCTTTTTTAGGTTTCGAATGCGTTTTGATGCCTGCGGCCTTAAATTCTATTCACCAGATGCTCAAGAAGAGTCTGGGGCGAGCAAAGTACTCTTACTACGGGCACCGATGGATGTCCGACAGTGCCATGAAAGCATGAAGCTTCATGATGGCCGAGAGAGTCTTCCTCGACTCAAGCGCGACGTATGCATCATGGTGCATGGCATGGGCGGCACCTGCGAGGACTGGCAAACATGGCTGGAAGTGCTGAAAGACAAATATCCTGACTGGATTTTGTGGCCGCTGCAAAGCATCTCCCGAGGCTGTAGGTTTCTCGGTAATGATTTGCGCGAGCTGTCGTCGATAGCGGCCGACGAGATAATTGAAACCATACGAAGCAATGAGACGATGGATGGTCAAACCACCCTTCATTGCATTGGACACTCGATGGGAGGATTAATTATTCGAGGGGCCCTTCCTCGAGTACTTGACAGCTGCAACACACTGCACCTGGGCCATTACATATCTCTCTCGTCTCCACACTTGGGCATCCAGTCGAGCTGGCTGCATCCTTTGCATTCGTGGAGAAATCTGTGCTGGCTTTCCCGACCAATCAGTAACCAGCTGGTGCACCTGGCAATCCAGGACACCTTCGGATTGGCGACGCCATTCCTTCTGGAGTTAAGCCAGCCTGAGAGTGACCATATGACGGCACTTGGCAAATTTAGGCACCGAACGTGCGTAAGCTTGGCCTTCGGTGATCCACTGATCCCAGCTGCTTCGGGACTTATCGATCCGAATCTTCTGATGGAAGCCCACAGCTCTTTCAACGAATCCTTTTGGCAGCTCACTTTTGATGACTCCTGGCCATCGGCAAGCAAAACCTTTGGCCAGCACGGCAAGGCAGGGATAGACAATGTTGCGAGACTCTTGCGAGGCTGTTTTCAGCATACACAAGGAACTTTGCTCTCAGAAAGGAATGGGTCATCTTGCAAAGGGCATCTAAGACTTTCTCTGATGCGCACTTGGGATGAGCGAGAAGCACCCCCAAGGTTCCTAGCTTGGAGGCACTGGGACAGCGTGGGGCACTTTTAACTAGTTAAGGATTCCTAGGAAATCTGACGAACTCAACGCATACGTCAGACGTATCCCTCATCCGAGAGATTTGCGCAATTTTGGCGTGTCTTCATGCGCAGGCCGCCTCTGGCTGCTTGAAGCTTCCAGCCCTGGTGCTCGGGCTCATGCAGCTGCTGATGCATGGCTTGTGGCGCTTCGTTGTGGCATTTCTGGGGCTTTGTGGTGTCGCGATGTCGTCCAGGCTGCATGGCCGATCTGACTGCACACCTTGCCCATTCTTGCCCCGCACGTGTATTGCGCGCCCTGCAGGCGCTCGCCAAGCCAACTTCCAGACTCCTCGCCATCCGACAGCAGCCCCAAAGTTGGTCGCAGCAGATCCAAGCTGTCTTGGGAGCTGTCGCAGGACGTTGCATGTAAAGCGATAAAAGCCGATGACATATGTCAGTGTGATGTTCGATGCTGGAAGTTGGAGGACTCGGTCCAATCAGGCTGCCGAGGGAAAGAGCGTGCAATCTCAAATACGCGAGCTGCAACCAGCCCCAAACTAGGCCACAAACTGCAACTCAAGGATTGGAGGATTTGTCATTCCAAGCAGCACAATCCTGTATTATACATTGGAAACTTAGATAACAGGAGAAGTTCTTTCCTCCAAGCAGAGTTTTCTCTCACTTTTCATTCTCTGTTTGTTTGCTCACTCTTTGCTCGTGCGCATGGAACTTGTGTAGACGACTCCTGTCAACACACAGACAAGGCCCAAAACAATTGTGCCAGCCTAGAGCCCAAACAGTGTGCCCAGACGTCCAAAAGCGGTCGTTCGCGAGCCCGGACATCCAAAAGCGACGTTTAAGAGATGACAGCTTCGCATTTCGCGGCCACGCAGGTGCCTCGGCGAGAGAGTGATTTTTGTCCAAAAGGCGAGCAGTCGCGAAAATTGCATGCTCGGCAGCGCGCCCCCCCTCAACCTAGACACTCTTACTACTCACATTAGAAACCCTCGGTGTTGACACACCGCTTGGGGAAAAACGCAAGAGCTTCATGAGAAGGGAACGGGGTGCCGGTGGTTTCCGAGATTATCCCGGCATTAAACAGTGTATGAGAGCTGCAGATCTGCGGACTTATGTGAATAGCGAGACATAGCCTGACATAGCCGGATGACGTTTCAGATCGTTTCAGCCTTGGCCTAGGGTTTGCCTTTTCAGAAGCAGAGGGCTGGAACCCGCTCCAACTTCCAGGCTCTATTCCCCAAACCGAAGGCGCTTAGGAAGGTCCGTAAGCAGGTCGAGGTCGGGCAGCGGACAAGTTGTGAGATAGTTACCCGTGTGCCGGGAGGTCAGAAAAGCCACATGAGGTTCAAGGGGTCGGAAGCAGGTGTGGGATTGGTGGGTGGTGGGTAGGGATGGCGGTCGGTTCTGAGACTGCTATCAATACTCCTACGGCCCGAGGCCTCGGCGGATTATTCGGCGGCCCCGGACTTTCAAGATACGATGTTTTCGGACAGTCCAGCAAGTCTCAACACCGATCTGACACCGATGTTGCGTTCACTGAAAAATGCCGAAACGATGGCGCTGGCCTAGTTCAGCACACGTTATAGACAGGATGGACACGTGGCAAACTCGCTTGGGACAGGGATGTTTTCCAATAAATGGGCGACGCTGCCAACCCACACCCTCATGGCACAGAGCTTAGGCCTTATGGGAACTTATAGGCTTAGGTCCGGGGAACGTGGCAGCATTTTTCTCCTGCAGGACTTGAAATGCAAGTATCCGGCGGTGGCTGGGCGCACGTGAACAGATTTGCCAAGCTATCGATGTGAAGCATATGCAGGAAGCTTTTAAGTAAGCGTCTAAGCAAACTTTTATCTTGCCTTGATTTGCCTTGCCTAAGGAGGTCTATGACGGGCTTCTTTCTGTGCCATGGCGTCGCGTTGTAGCAAATGCTCACCATCGACCTATCCCCAAGAACATGTACTTTGGAAGCACGCTGGCAGGGCCTTTTTGTCGGGGCAGCGACGAGGGATAGCCGAGTAACCGGGTGCTCTCTGGATTTTTTTCTTATAGTGTGGCTTCACACCTCCTTCCGCCTCTTTGAAGGCACGTCTTCCTTATTGGCAAGAAGTGCGAGCAGTTTACCCGCGAGAGACCAGTCGGCAAGACAGCAGCAGTGTTGTTATATAGTGTTGGGATGTGTTGGGCATGGTCTGTCTATGCTTTTGCCTTGAAGTGGCTTGTGAGGCACCAGATGTCAAGAACCTGCATTGAGCACTTGGCCGATCTACTGGCCTAACCAGGCTGCGCCACTCCGCTCCGCTACGCCTTGTCAACGAGAGTGAGATAAACCGCACAAAGGCACACACACACACAAAAGTTCTCCCAACCCTTCAATCCTGAAGTTGCACTCATACTCGTGCTTTCAGTGAAGTCTGCCAAAGTGAGCGTGGAGCACTGTGGAGCATTCAGCACGTATGTACGTATATTTATATACATACATATATATGTTATACGCGTATAATGTTAAATGCATACACATAATCCTGAATCATCTTTCAAAAACTGAGTTCAGGATCACGTAGCCATGTTAGACCCCGGCTGTCAAGCAGTCGGCACGGTCTACCCAGGTTGCTCAGCGGAAAATATGGCCTGCTAAGCTTGCTCCGGCGAGGAGACGAGACAGGAGCCTCATGATCTCTGTCTTTGTCCGACCCAGCTCAAGCCGAAGCAACAGACAACGTCCCATATTATCGCAACGAATAGGACACAGATGGCAACAACTACTCAGTCCTGGCACGAGACCACCTAATGCTATGGAGCTCTTGGCCACTGAGCCCCCACAGCGCTCACGGCGGTGCAGGCAGGCAGCTACTTCAAAGCTCTTTGCACTGCACAAAAGGCCATCGATTGAATCAAATACCAGCACTACTTGATGCTGTGTAGTTTGGGGCGGCAGTTTATCAGAGCTCTCCTTCACTGCCGAAGTGTTGCAGAGCTGCTGCATGCCATCAGTGGAAGTCTGAGAAAGGATCTTGACATGGATCCTGATATGGATCTTCAGCTTTGACGCATTTGACAGGCGATGCTGTTTGCTGTCTACACTCGCGGTGACTTCCGTCACTTGTGCGACCCCTGAAGTGCCAAGTCCGGCTACTCAGGCATGTCTCGAATCCCCCGTGCCCAGGTTCTCGAAAGACTTCTACGGAGAAGGCCCACCTAAGATTCTGTGATGTTCATCAGTCAACACAGCGCTCTGCAGGCGTGGCTCCATGTAGTCGGACACCCAGCACCAACTGCGACTAGCAGCAGGTCTGGCATTGGCTGGTCAGGTGCGGACTCGAACTCGAGATCCGAATATAGTCAAGCTGTCGCTTCAGTCTTTACGGCACTGCGGCAGGCCGTCGGATTTCACGACCGCCCCTTCCTCTTGCTCTAAATGCAGCGACAGAGCCTTTCGTACCTTGGGCTCTGTTACTCAGCGAAGTCGTGTGAAAAGTGGCAGAAGCCAAACTCAGACTTCGCTAGGCCTTTGGGGAAGCTCTGGCCCTGACCTCTGCAGCCTCTGTGGGAGCTTTGGCAGCCTGGCTGCTGGTGTCTCTCGCCCTGCAACTGTTGCTTTGCTGAGCATCTTCGCCCATCAGCCAATGGTCCTTTTCACGGATTCCGCAGTGTGTGATTTCGACGGTGCCTCAGCTTTTCAGCCTGCAGGTGGCCACAAAAGCTGCAACAGAGACAGAAGCATACTGTACAAAAACAACGCGCCCAGCGCACCGACCCCACCCCCCCACCCCCCACCACCCTTCCTGGCAGTGCGGGATATGCGTAGCCTCCTCTCATAGACTGCAGAGAGCCTCATCTTCGGCTTGCAGGCCTGGAAGAGCTCTTGAAAGCTCGCCAAAAAGTGTGTGTTTGCTGTTATTCGCTACATTTCGCTAACCTTCAGGGCGACATGCCGCAAAGCCAAGCACTGAGAAGCAACTTTAAGAGTTGGATAGTGATGACACATTGATGACTTGCAGAGCATGCTCCAATCCCAGTGCCAGTTGAGGAGTTGCAGATGACCAGCAAACCCGGCTTTCCATGCCACATCCTGATTTGCTTGCATTCTGCAATGCCCAGCAATGCACTTGCGAGCTCTGCACAGCTCTGCATATGACGGCTGCCATGGCTGCCCTGCCTCGAGGGGGACGCACATGACCTCCAGCGCAGGGAGCGCTTTACAGTCCCTGATGAGTTTCGGGCTCATCGGCTCTGTCGCATCCCAGATTTTCCACATTACCCATGTTGGATCAAAGCCTTATGCGAGGCAAGCAAGGCGGAACGAAAGGTGCGCGTCTTAAGCTTGACTGTTCTGTTGGTTCTTCTTATTTCCTCACTCCTTCTCAGTCTCAATTGGCTTGAAGGAGCCAAAGCTTCACCTCCTGGTGCCCAGCCAAGCCAAAACCCATCTGGCGGAGGCCGATTCATTGGGAGAAAATTTATGTTGAGAGAAGTCACACTTGGCACTGTACTCGTACCGACTCGTGCTTTAGTGATTGTCAGCACTGGCAGGTGCTGCTCCTCCAGCTGCAGTGAGGCGGTGTCTGGCAGAGTTTGGCTGCCCAGAAAGGAGTGATGTCATAACGGAGGCCCAAAGCGACAGATCAGAAAACAGTTGTATCCAGTGCGCTGGTTGCTCAGCTTGAGCGGCAATGTGCCTTCATCATACTGTTCGGCTCTTGCAAACAAAGTAGCATTGTGCTGCGTGTATTAAGGACACAGCTGAATGTCTCATCCAAAGCTGGGGCTTTGCTCACTTCGCTGGTGCTGCCGGCATGGTTCACGTTCAGTTGGCAGGGTTCGAGAGCACGGGTGGGCTTCTACGTAAACTAAAGTTTGAAGACTTTCTAAAGGTGGGTCTTCGAAAATGCTTTCTTGATGACCCAGGAAGAAGTTGGTGCTGGGCTTTCGGCTTTCGACTACAAAAGTCTCAAAACCCTCATGGACCATGCCAGTTCATGGCCATAAGTGTCCCACCTGTTCGTATCCGGAACATCCCACACGAAACGCACATTAATCCTGACCAGGCCGAGGTCAGAAGGTTTTAGCAGAGTTTTTAGCAGAACAAATGATAGAACGCGTATGAATGTAAGAGAGCACGTCAATTGCAATGCCGTGTAATGTCAAGCGTTAGGTGCAGAAGCCCAGTGCAAACTCTGCGCAGGTTGCGAGCCCAGAGTCCGCATGAGCATGAGTCAATATTGTCAGTATGTTCACCAGTCCGCGTCAAGCTGCTCAGCATAGTACTGATGGGCGGTACTTTGCCACGAGGCTGCCAACTCTGGAGCAGCACCCAAGTCCACGGAGGACCCTTCCTGGTGAGACCGTTTGTGAGTGTTGCAATCTGGATGGAGCGTTCGAGGCTGGTAGACTTACTGGACCCAGTTGGTTTCTGCTGCATTGGTCCTGTCGCATTCCGGATCACGTGGGCAAGCTTGTGGAGAGCACCCAGCCCCACAACTTTCGTGCAGATGGCTGTGATGGTTTGGGGCAGCTCGGACTCTCGTTGAGTTGGTGCCTGGTTTAAGAAAAGCTTCTGGATTCGGCAGATTCCGTGGTCACAGTTGTTCTTCGCACCCAAAGGTGGGCAGGCGCTATTCGGTAAAGAAGACCCAAGCCAGACAGACATACCGATTGGTTCCGATGCGAGCGATGCAAGGCCGCAAGTTCCTCCAGCTCCAGAATGTGTTTCTGGGCCCTCGAAGAATGAGCTTCCATTCCTGATCTGAATTCCGCTTCTGTCCCTCAAAACTCGATTGTTCTGCTCTGACGTGAAAATGTGCTATTGGGCCCTCGGAAGAAGATGAAGGGTCTCCGCGTCTTCACAGACTGAATACTAATTAGGTACTGCGATGGTGCCATGCTTTTTGGAGGCCCTGGCTAACCGCCTGCAGAGAGGCAACTTAGGTAGGCACTCAACTCTGACGCCAACAAAAGAAAAGCTTATCATCCTCCCAACAAATCTGCGTCCACTAATGTTCTTACTAAAACATGAACTAGCGGAAGCCCAGAGCCTCTTGTTCTTTACCAATCTTTTCGTTGGCAGAGCAGTGCTGAACCAAATTGCAGCAGAGAAGCATGTTCTATGCATCCAGCATCATGTAGCAAAGATGGAGCATCGTGTAGCTGTAGCTCTTGTGGCATCGATGTCCAGGATGGGCGCGAAACATCCAAGCCAACCCACAGCGACCGTGCGTTGGAGGAAGCAGAGGCTGGAGTGCCTGGGTTTCTATTTGCAGCTCACTTTGAGGCATGTGACATGAAGCCTCCTTCAGCCTTCGACTGCAGGCGAAGGTGCCTCTTCTCGGTGGAGATGTGGCGCCCACAATAGGGATTGCTATCGGTTCCCAGGTCCAATCCTCATTTTATTAGCAGTCCAACCCGGAGATGCCGTAGATGGCATCCTTGCAGGTTGTTGACAGAAGTGTGAGCCCATGGGGCGCATGCGACGGTGCGCGCGCGCTGTCGGTCCCCACCTGAGCTCTTTCGTAGATCTTCCTCAGCTCCGTTCACGTTGTCTTCCTGCATTTATGTTTTTCATTTCCCTCCTTGTTCTTTCCTTTGATCAAGGTGATCGGTATAGTTTTCATCGTGCTCCTCATTGCTGTCCTGGCCTCAACAAGAAGCCTGATCTGCAGCAGTGGTCCCACGAGCCCCCCCTAACAACAACTACCAGCTAACACGTGCTACATTGCTGCTACATGCTATCCGGGCACATCTCATTCACCTCCAGTACTGCTTGGGTTGCGGGCCCCTTCGCTGGTTGCCCCGCTCCTTGTATGTTTACTTGATGCTTCGAGAGCATGCTCCTCAATGCGAACCCTTGATGCGTTGCCAGCCCCCCAATCTCCGTCGGTTTATTTTGAGATGTGACATGAAGTTATGAAGCTTTCTTTAAGGTGGTTGCCGGCGTTATCTTTTTGGTGAAGCCTCATGGGGCTGTCGCATCCTCAGAGCCCAGATCAGAGGCCTAGAGCGTGCCGCACGTTACCGCAGATTTGAGGAGCATTCAGCGCAAGGAAGCCTTCGCAAAGGGACACCAGAGGCCCTCAAGTCTAGGGCAGCAAGGTGCTATTCCCAAGTCCAGGAGCTGCGTTCCTGCTGTGTCTGTTCAATACGTCTGATCTGGTTAGGCACGTCGAGCAGATCATGCTCATGCTGCAATGGCAAGTGCAACTGTTTCCCCTGCTGAAGCAGAGGCTTTTTGACCAATTGTCGTGCCTCCATGCGCCTCCCCTGTCCTCTGCTCTGCAAATGTTTGTCAGCTCACAGTGCCAGGAAGTGCGGCACCAGCATAATCAGCAGGTCATCACCACCACCCGTTCACAGGCCTCATGGACTGAGAACACGACTTTTAGAAGTTTTGCAGCTTGATGCCTGAATAGAGCTTTGGCGTGTCTCTGCCGTGCGAGATCGGGTCAGTTTGCGCGCAGGCGATGCAAAGCAGGCATGAGAATGGAGAGAATGGCCCTGAGCACGGAGAGCACATCCACCAGCGCAGCCAGCGAAGCAGTCAAAGCAACTCGAGCCTCGTGAAGGCAGGGGGCTGTATGCCTGACAAATCTCTATATTTGCATCACCGATCATCACCACGTGCAGCACAGTGCAACCTGTGCAAATGTTTGGTGTGACGATGCATGTCTCGGCTCAGGGATTGCTTGATGTCGGCTCGTGTATGGTGGATCGTTTGTTGGTCTCCGGCCCAGGTAGTGCCTCCGTTCTCTACACGCACCGGTGAGGCTGGCCCATGAGTCGTCACGAAAGCAAGCTCCGCGAGCTCTAGCAGGCGTTCGAGTTTACAAGATATCTTGGTTCAGCACATTGAGCAAAGAGTTCCGGTATTTGTATGAGCTATGTTGAGGTCTGCTGGGTCAACAAGGGACCATAAGGGACCTCGACCTCTGTGCGGTTCAATCACTTCGGAATCTTCGTGAGACTTTCAAACTTTCGATCTGTGGCATTTTGCTCATTTTAGAGCTTGGGTCCCTTAGCTTAGGGCCAGCAAACCCATCGAAGTCAATCGCCTTTCAGAACATCAAGGGTAAACCTCATGACTACCAAATACATGGTGGCAGGTTTTTCTGGGTGTTCGAGAACTGATGTATGCTTGGGCGTTTTTACGCTGGGTGTTCTCATGCACGTATACAGTGTCAGGTCACAACGTTTAGCATGCATTAGCATCCAAGCATGACGCGCAGGCGCTGTCAGCAACCGTCGGTCCGACATCTTTTCTGATCTGTTCCGAAATCCGAGCTAGTAACTACATGTAACTACTAGATCAGGACATTTCATCAATCTTTACCTGCAATTGGGGCTGGTCTCTTGTCGACTTGAGCCCGTAAACCAGCAATGGACTGCAGGCTGAGAGGACGGGGGGCTTCCATTGCGACGAGCACGAGGTGCCGGCGATCAGCGGCAGCTCTGCAGCTTGAGTCTGCTCGGCTCATGGAGTGGCAGGTGTCCCATCTTCGGTATTGGTCTGCCGAGCACATCGAGTACTGTTGCCGATGCCTTGCGTGATTGTCAGTGATTGTGCACACTTGCGTACTGTGGAAGGTGTTGCTGAAAGTCTACCATTCGGAAACAACACGTCGAAGCATGGCCGTACTTGAAACGCACCCTTCTCATGTAAAGACCGTGTTAAAAGGCGTCACACGCACAGAGCCATGCTTCAGCCCATCCCTCGTTTCAGTGCCCACGAGAACCCAGACTTTTCTATTCACTTCTCTCTTAAGTCTCCCGTCGATTCCTGCGATCGGTGTCAGGCCTAGATCTGTGCATCTCTGCTGCGTCTCCTTTCCCTGTGACCTAGGTGTAAATGCAGACATTGGTTGCGATGCTGGCAGCCAAGTGGCACGTCTCGTGTTCACAGCAAGGAGAACAGATTGAACAGATGCTCAGTCCTCAGTCATTTGTTAGGTGCTCCCTGCAGCTGGGGAGTGTGACAGCCCAGATGCTCTCACTGACTGGACGCCAATCGTTTCAGGGGCAGAATTGTGTTGCGCTTCTCCCCCAAGATTCGTCCACCTTCGGGTGATTTCGGGCGCCTTTTGCAGGAGCTCCTGGGCAGACTCGTGCAACAAGTGCGGTGGTGGAGTCAAAGTCCGGCGTCGCAGGTTAGGGTTCACGCAGTTCTGACAGTTCACGGCCCCGTGGCCCTGTCTGAATTGGAGCTACGATCGTCGGCTGACAGGTTTGCTTCTGCGTACGACCATTGCGAAATCAGCTCGACAAGCAGGTCAGGCAGCATCGCATCACAGCACCTGCTCAGCACCTGCCATGTCAAGCATTGTTGACAATCCTTTGCAGCAAGCATGTCTTGACTTTTTGCAATCAGCTGTGTTTGCAGGAGAGTGGATTTGACAGACACGCGTCCTTGCCACGAAGCAAGAATGGAAGAGTTTGTGCCGCGAAGCTCGAAACAGTTTCGATTGCAATTTTTGCAGACATTGCAGACTGTGCAGTACTTTTGGCACGCTTCTTCAGGTCGCATTGGTCTGGATGGGGTGTGCCTGAGATGTTGCTTCCACCGCCTGCCTAATTACTGCAAGTGACTTGAAGATGGTCATGTGGCTTGCCAGGCGAATGCAGCGTCACCTGCGACGACGGATACCGGGAACGAGCATGTTCCCCAGAGTCTCCAGGAATGCCCGTTCACTCTCACGCCAATACCTTCAAAGTCCTTTCAACGCGCACATCCAGTAAAGCGACATGAACTTCGACGTGCTTTTGTTTCTCTCTGAGCAATTTTAATTTGCAGGAACCAGAACAGTGTTTCAGGTATTGAGAGACTACTGTGCCGGCTTCAGGGCTTTCAGGGGGAGTTGCAAGGTTTGCTCACCCCTGTTTTGTGCTGAGGGCAACTTTAGACTTTAGGGTTCTCGGTTGTATGGAACTTGTCTGAAGATTCCTCGAGCAAATCCAGTCCTCAACGAACTTTTCCATTCGGCTTTGTGTTAAGGTGCGGGACATGAGAGAGCTTGCCCTCGAGTGCCACCTTGTTGTGAACTCGGATGACGCATGCTCACAAGCGCCAACTTTTCGCTGCTGCGCTGTTTTTACCACCGGGTTGTCAGGAGTTTCCTCTTAAAGAGACTATGCCGTGCTCCAGGCCAGACTCTGCCAGACTCTGCAACCTGATGTGTGCTGCGGCGCTGTGTGCAAGAGATGCTTCTGTAAGGCCAAGCTGCCGTTTCTGAAGCCGACTCCCAGTCCTAGTCATGCCGGCATCTGCACCATGAGATGCTGTGATCTACCAGGAAGGCACATCATCCAGAGGTTGCAGCGGAATGTGACAATTGTCGTGGTCGGAATGTACAAGTCACGCCAACATGATCAGTCGCCACAGCCGAGCCAGTAACACCGGCATGCAGCGCAGAGGTGCACCAAATGCAAAATGCATGAAGTGCTACCTGACCCCGAGCCCGGCATCGCAACAGAAGTAACGAAGCTACTACACTGCACTCGAATCCCAGCATGCTCCACTCAACCTTCTGTCGAAGCTACAAGTTCCGATGTGCCATGATGTGCAATGACAATGTCAGGAACTTCAGGAACAGCTAACCGAAACTTGTTTGCATGCGGATGTTGGAGGCTCGTGGACTTCGACAGTTTTCGAACTACTCGTAGCAGGCGCCTAACCTGTGAATCCAATGTGAGAGTTCATCAACTCGATGTATTGCTTTATATGGCTGCGGCATTTCCAGTCCAACAGGTTCTTGACCTTAGCCGGGCTACCCTGTAAGCTCGGGATGGCTATCTGTTCAAATTCTCGACGGACTCACTTCCGATCTCGGTGCAGTGCAACAAAGTCTTGCAGCTAGCCTTGCTCAAGCTCTCTGCATCGGATCCGCAAGCTTGCAGCATCAGGAGTCGCTTCATTGTTGGCATGAGCAAGATATAAGAACACCAAGCGCCATGCGCGCCTCATGAATTGAGAAGCATCCCGCTGGCCAAAGCTTGCCACATCTGTACAGCGCATGCCGCATGTCAAGAAGGGAAAACACATCATGCATCATGCTTGAATCGCTTGAATGCTCCTTCAGGGTCTTGTGGACCACTCAGTGTCCCTTCGCAGTTTCGACGAAGTCGCCCCTCATCGAGAGCTTTGGATCCGGGACGTGAGGAGCTGATATCCGAGTGCCCATGCGCTCTTCCTTCCTTCCTTCCTTCCATCTTTCCTTCCTTCCTTCCTTTAATGGAAGCGATGCTGTGCGACAAAGGGCGGTGGAGAACAGCAAGCGCCCAGGGTAATGGATGTAAAAAGGTTTGTAGTCTAGGTTTCCGGCCTACATCAACTGGCACAAGCGTTCACAAGCAGCTCATGCAGCACATGAACTCATTGCGTAGCTGACTACGGCTTGCGCGCGTAAGCTGAGTTCGAGATACTCGTGACGGTGTAGTCCGTCCCACAAGCAGGTACTTTGCTCCGGGCAGAGTGCGGTGCTTAGCTGCAGTGTGCTTGACGAGCTTGCTGTTTGCTTGATGAGCAGCGATCACGTTCTGCCACATCGCTCCGTTCAGCTAATCCTCGAGCTGCCTCTGGACAATGGCGGGACGCTTCAGGCCCTTGGCCATGTCGAATGCGCACTAGAGCGCAGGGCCGCAGGGACGTACAGGGACACATGGATGTGCAGCAAAGCAAAGTGAAATGGTTGCTCCAGCCGGTCCGAACCGGAAAGGTGCAAAAAGAAGCCCCACTTCCAGGTGACTGCTCACGAAGCTTCCGAAAGTCAAGCTCCGCCTGGTGCACCTGCAGGGTCCTTCCAGGAGCCTCGGCATGTTGATCATGTTGTCGTGGACGGGCTGGCCGCCCAAATAGGGCGCGACTTTCGGTTGGTGTTCATTTTGGGGGGCAGCTGTTGCGATGTTTTCGAGCTTTCAGAGCATTTTCACAACCTCAGCGGAACGAGCATAGACGAGCACTCAGGAATGGCGCTGTCTTCGTTTCCTTCGCAGCGACTTGGCACATGCACTGGAATGGCAAACGCAAGATGGCAAGCTCCAGGGATCTCAAAGGGTCGGGAAATGTCAAGAAATGTTTCGGTTGTTGGATCCCATAGTCAGTTGCCTTTCTTGGAGGCGGAGGTCTGATACAGAGCGTGACGAAGGCAGGCCTGAAACGTATTTTGGAAGCAGGCAAGACTCTTGCATTTTGTTCAGGTGGTTGTCTATCCAAACGACGACCCAGTTCCCAGGATTCAAGGCACCGCCTACAGATTCTCTTTGTTGGTCAGTTGTGGGAGACAGTGGAATCGGACTTGGACTGCAGGAAGGAATGCGCATCTCAAATCCTTTGTGACTGTCAGAGGCCATGTGGTGCCTTTGGCCTACACCAAGGCAACGCATTTTCTGAATATATATTTTAGTAGTCCCGGCATTCGGCATGAGGGCTAATTACCTACTCTCCAAGCTTTTCTCCGCAGTCGTTTGCGACCGTCGTCCTGGCTGCCTTGTCGGCCATGGGTGTCCCGGTTTTGCCAAGAAAGGCCATGAAGGCCAAGGACCAGCGAATGCACAGGCTGCACATGCCTGCGCTCATCTGCACTTCAGGGCTCCAGTGCGCCTCAGGAGCCTCTGCGCATCCTCTGCATTGGCCTGGGTGGCGGGTCTGTCCCGTTGGAATCTCAGTTTTCGCTCGTCGACATGAAGCTTCACAATCGAAATCATGGCGACCTGCTTTGCAGACGGTATCTTCTATGTGAAGAGAGATTCACCCGTCGTCGATCGTGCGCCTTTGAGTTTTGACAATATCCTTCCCAGTGCCCTGCACCGGCACCCCGAGTGTCTCATCATCTTTCAACCTTCTGCCCTAAACCCTGACCAACGATCTGTTGCAAGGTCTTTCTACGCGGAGAGCCTTCCCCATTGTCAGGTCGATGTGGTTGAGTTGGAGCCCGCGGCAGAAACCTTAGCAGTATGTCGACTTTTGATAAGCACATCTTCACATGGTATGGGTTCGACCGGCTCAATCAAGACTTGAGGTCGTGCATGCTGCAAAGGAGGTGCGGCTACCAGAAATTCAGGCATCAAGCTCCTATTCCTTCCCTTTTTTCGGGTCCAGGGCATGGGCTTTCGCGAGTGGCATAACCTTCGGGTCTTCGTGGAGGACTGGAGGTAATACAGTGACACCAGTGCGTGGGGGGTGCACGCAGTGATGCAGGATGGAGTCACTTTCGCGCAGCAGAAGGTCCAGGACTCGCTCTCAGCTACTTGTACTAGAAAAGGATTCAGAAGGAGTGGACGATGACACTCTTCATGGTCTTCAGGCTTGACAGGCCTAGCACGACTTAAGCGTGGATAAGAGCTGCAGCGGTCAGTGCTTCGACTAGAGCCTAGAGAATGAAGAGGTTCGGAGGTTTGAAAATGCAAACCGCCAATGCCCTCACAAAAGGTGTCTCAGTTTGAAAAAGCCTTGTCAGTACCAGCGCATTCTTCTAGGGTTTTGGGACAGAGAGGCGATAGAGGGGCTAGAAATGTCGAGGAAGCGCTTCAGAATGCTGATTTATCAAAGAACAGCAGAGAGCACTTTTTGACATGGATTCAGGCGAAGAAGGGGGAGGACACAACAGGAAGGTTGCTCAACAGAGAGCCAAGAAACGAAAGGGTAGGAAGAGGACTGGGGGTGGGCCCAGAGGTGGGGCCGGAGAAGCGTGCTTTCGGTGGATCGATGATAGAGGTATCGAGCATCGGTGTCAGAGTCACAGGGCACCACCCGCATCATGCGAGGCTCGACCAAGAGGCGTGGGAGTGTATGATGCAGACGCTCGGTTGACAGTCGACACTAGCTTTCTTTCCTACAGCATGCTTTGCCGATTGAGGTATCAGCTGTGTCGACATGCTGTACCGATCGCGCAGGCTGAGGCATCAGCTCTGTCGACACTTTGTTCTACTCTGAGGTCCTTGTTGATGCATATGATCCAGATGGGAACGTTCCTGAAGCCTTGTGGAGCAGGCAGGGGCGTGCACAGAGTCACTCAGTACCTTCAGTACCGCTTCACCGGTTCTTGCAGGGATGGGGGCTTGGTTGAAGCCCTGTCTGATGGTCTGCTGCGGCCCTGTGGTGTTGTTGCCACCAACTTTCTGCCTCATGTTGATCTCGCCATCGACTCAGCAAAGCCAGCAAGTCTGCCGAATATCGGCAGTGTGTGAATTCTGTGAATTCATTGCTAAGGCCGACGCTCTAGCTGCATACAGCGGAGCCTTGAGCTCGCACGGCTCGGGCAGAAGCTTTTCCATTCAGGCAAGGAAATGTTACTAGTTTTTATTGTTGTTTCAACTTTCAAGGTACAGCAATTCTGAGTATCATTTCTGAAGATTCGGAAGGTCAACAAGCCAATTGACCCTGAGAACGATTTGGAAAAACTCTTCGATGTCGCTTGCCAGCATTGCCTTGGCTGCTTTGCCTTTCACGTCAGGGTGCATATTCAGATCCATGATGCAGTGTACTTTTTCGTGCCGAGAAGGAGGTCTGACCCTGATGGCATCCAACAAAACTCTGTGTTGAACTTTGGGGGTCACAACCACCCTGCGCTCTCCATGGACGGATGGTGGGGGGGTTGACAAAATTGAAGAAGTGCGCGCTTTGACGCGCCATCGATGGAGTCGTAGAATGTCGCAGACTGACCTTTCCCTCCAATTCCCTCCATATCTGCCAAACCTCTCAGGCTCTCTCAAGCTCTCCGAAGCGTTTAACTGAAAATATCAGAAGCCTGCTCAGCCCAAGCCTGGGCTGTTCTGAATTAGGGCCGGTTTAGGAAACTTTTTCATGATAGAAATCCTCAACAAAAACACCGAAGAATCCGTGCGATGAACATGAACAATCCTGTGCGCACAAGACCGACGGCTGATTGATGCGCAAGTCCAACCCGATGGCACGGTTGAAGTCCTCACCTTGTTCCGTAAACGAGTCACTACGAGATACAAGCTTATGCAAGCTAGTGCCTCTACAGTGGACAGTAAGGTAGAGGGCACCGGAAATCGCGCCTCGGCTCAAAGTTGCAGTTGACATGCTGGACGTCTCCGGGTCTGCATCTTCAGGTATTGCAGTACACATTGCTGGTGCTCCGCACTGTTCCCAGAGTCTGAAAGGTCATTGTATCCTCAAGATACTGAGCAAACGGGCATCTGTGAAGTTTCATCAAGGCCGGAATTGGTCGACAGCCCACTATCCGTTTTGGAGGATCGGCTCAAAGAGGAGGCCAAAAAGGCTCCGCCAGGGTATGCTGAGTTAATGGTCTCAGGTTGCGGATCTCAAGCTGTAGCCAACATCAGGTTGGAATGGCAACCGGCTGCGTCTGGGACATGCCTGACCTGGCTTGTTCATGCCCCAGAGATCTTGTGCTGGCTGCCATGATGTTGACACCTTACTACAGCAGCAATCATGAATCCTAGGTGCGGGGAGGGCCATTGTAGAGGTCACTTGCATGCCCTGCCAGCGAAGAGAGAGTGAAAGACAGAGACAGAGAGAGACAGACAGCCCCTTCCCTTCGCTGGGTAGGAGAAGAGAGACAGAGACAGAGACAGAGACATGGATTTGGCTTATTCGGTGATAAGCATCGTACCGAGAAGCTGCAGGGCAGCGCGCGACTCCATCGCCAGGCCACTCCCCCAACGGAAGAAAGAAACAAAGAATGACACAAAGAAAAGGGCAAAAACCACCGAAAGATAGAACGCAAGAACTGTAGATACAGCGAGAGAGAGCGAGATACAGTGGCTTCCCCTTCACGTGAAATCCGTGATTCTGCATGCCTTGGCTCCGCTATGCTTGCGAAAAGAGAGAGAGAGAGAGAGAGAGAGAGAGAGAGAGAGAGAGCGAGAGAGAGAGAGAGAGAGAGAAAGAGAGAGAGAAAGAGAGAGAGAAAGAGAGAGAGAGAGAGAGGGAGAGATTTCCTTAACACGAGCATTTCACAGACATTGCAGCTGGCAGCAGGGGCCGGCGTGCCCCCGTCCGGGGTGCGTCTCCGCTGTGTAGAAGAAGAGACAGAGAAAGAGAGGCTGAGAGAGAGAGAGAGAGAGGGAGCGAGAGGGAGAGAGACAGTGAGAAGTAAGAGGGGGAGAAGAGGGGAAGGCTTGAAGAATCGAGGCCGGGGTCTTCGTGATTGGCCAGCTGTCCAAGCAGAAGCGGATGACGTAAAGATTTTCTCTATGTAAAGCTTGTGAGATGCCGGCTCCATGATTTTCCTGAGTTCAACAGGCATCTTCGCTTTGCCCATTCGAGATAACCAAATGGCCATCGACTTGCCTGAGTTTCATTGGTTCGGCAGTTGATTTCCGCAGTGGACCCATGTGTGATCGGTGCCTTGACTCGTATCTTGATTGCCATATGGTGCTTCCAGTGCCCATACATGTGGGATCAGTAGCATGTACCAATATGCATCAGCAGCAGCGTGCTTCCGAGCACGTCACTGATCGTGAAAGAATTGTGTCCAGCGTTGGCCATTCCTATCATATGCTTCTTTACACGGAAGCGTGGCATGCAGGAGTCCTGCTTGCAGCATGTAGCTAGTTCGGGGATCTGATGTCTCCAGGGCATCTGGATTTTGCACGCTGACCGCGGACACAGCCACACCCAAACTGACATTAAGCAACCAGGCCAGCGGAAGGCCTCACCCACTCCGAAAGTACCCTCGCAGCTTCGATCTATCAGGCACCCAAAGTTTACCTAGCATCCGCTGTTCTTGCAACTGCCTGCATGGCGTCGGATGACGAGCTATGGGATGCGCTTGAAGAAGAGCAAGGTGTAGAGGCTCGTGACCTAGCGGGCTGTCCGTCCATTCTAAATGACAGCTGGAGCCTAGCTTCCACAGATTCAGTTTGATCCCACCCTAGTACTAGATTTGTGGCAGACTCATGTTTCACCGACAAGTTGCTCTGCGAGATTTATTTGCTCAATGTTTTTCGAGTGGTGTCAACTGCCATGATGCAGAAGAACAGGAGGACCAGAAGCTTTTGGATTTGCTTTTGTTTAACACGCGTGCATCCGGCTATAAGTATTAAGTTTTGCCCACGGACTGCGCATCTGACAGGATTGCCAAGCTCTTTGGACAGAAGCCGCAGCAGCAGCTACCCTGGCCGGCACCAGCAACTGCCTTGATAGCATGTGTTCTCTTCCCTTGCTCAATGGCGCTGCGGGCTCTGCAGGTGCGATCTGGGTGCGATGTTGACTCGCGATTCTGTTTTGGCAGATTTTCGATAACGGCTTGCTGTCAGGCATGCATCGCTTCGGGGACAATGTCGGTTGGGCCACTGCCTCTCCCACCTGTCACATTTCCATGGATGGCATGGCCTGTGCTGATGATGGGAGCATTGTGGCATCGGCACGTAGATGGTGTTCCTTGGTTTCAGAATGAGGTGGAGAAGACCGTGAACAGCCTTCGGCATGTGCTGTGACTGCTGTGTTCATTTGTTCCAATTTGACTGAGGCTTGGTTTCCCTCCGTGGCTGTCACAGGACGAGCTATTGCGGCAGCTGCCGTCTTGGGCATTCTCGAAGCTAGTGCTTCAGCACTTGACGTTTTTGTTCCACCAGGTGTGAGCAGCAGGCTTCGTGATCAACAACAGTCCTAAAGACCTTGCGATGCAAGAACGCAAGAACATGTCTGTCAGATTAGCAGAGTCTTTCGAGTCTTTCCTTCCAGCTCCTCTCGCTTGCCTTTTCTCACTTTTGTCCCTCTCACGCACCATATCATTCGGAAGGCAAACCGTGATCTTGGCTCTCCTTCGCAGTGCTGACATTCCGATAGCAGCAGCTCTGTATGCGGTGATGAGCGGAGACCCTCAAGAGAGCTGGGCAGCATTGGGAAGGTTTTATTCTGGGCTTTTCTGAGGGGCCAATTGCACCCTCCGAAGTGATTTCACGTCTGGCCGTGGAACCCTGACTGACACCTAGACTTCAGGGACATCTCTGGGGTCTCTGTCTGAGAGTCTCGGTATCGTCGACCAATTTCATGTGCTCAGGCGCCTGTGCTGTCCTCCTTGCCGATGTCCCTGGGCTTGGCCTGTTCCTGGTTGCTTTGTGAGTGTCATGGCGAGCTTGGCGAAGACTTCCGAGGCGCGTACTCCTACAGCCCCTATCTTCCCACCAGTCCAGGCGACGCCTTGATCCTCACGGCCGCTGCTTTTGCAACGTTTTGCCGGGCCGTGCGATATGCCAGCGGCGCCTTTCTGCTACGACGGGTGGGAGTGGATAACTCTTGGGGCGGTCTTTGTTTCGTAGGTGGGTTTAGTGGCTTCTTTGGATCCATGCTGGTGTTGCCACTAACCTTGGGCCAATTGCCTTTGAAGTCCCTTGACTGGGATGGCTCCGCTGGCTCTGTTCAACTTGACTTCAGTGTGGTGGCTGTCGCAGCACTTTGCCTTGGAGCAATCGAGACGCTCTCAAGGCTGGCGGTGCTTCGCCACTCTGACACGGTAACTGCTGCATCCCTGGATGCGGGAATTTTGCCTTTAGCTGCACTTATGGCACGAAGCGTGGGCATTGCTTCACCAGATCGCCACATGCCAGCTGAGTTCCTTGCACTTGCGGCTCTGTTACTCAGCTTTTCCATGCAGCTGCGCTCCAGCCATATGCGCCGCAACAAAATGGGAGATGCCACAAGCTCCACGAATCCTATCCTTCTTGGGCGCGCTGGCCTCGGAGAGGTCCAAAGCTCACGCGACGGCCCTCGCAAGTTGAGGCAAGTGTGAGCTTGAGTGGCAGCGTGGACCTATGTGAACCAGCAGCGCGCTCTGGACTCAGAAGGACGTTCTACGACAGGTTCCAGGCGCGTGTTAGTTTTTTAAGCTGCAGCTACTAGGCAACAGCCTGCTCGAACGCAGCCGACCCTGCGGGGACACTGGTACAGGATCCGACCACATGCGACCCCAAAAAGATCGCAGATGCGGCCTTAGACTGCGTCCGCACAGCTTCTCACTGCACTCAATGTACAGGCACAGCTCTCTGTGCAGAATCCCATGCGATTGAGCCTGCCTTGCGGCTCTTCCCCTTTCCCATGCAAGATGAAGAACAGACGACGAAGAATGAACATCTGTTTGGTGAGAACATGTGAGAACACTCACTTTTTGTTGTTGAGAACAGGAAAGGGAGTTGTCCAGGGGGACATGTTAGAGTGCGGGATTAGCAACTTTTTTGCATGTGAGGCTACTACTAGCTTCAGAATCCGACGACTTGCTTGTGTGCTGTATTGTCAGAACTGGATTTGCCAACCCAAGACTGCTTCCAGCAATAGCCTGGTGTGATTTCAAGAGCAGACATGGGCAAAGCACTGCATCACGTCGGCATCTTTTCACTGTCAGCCTTTCAGATGTGGTTCCAACCTTCAAGACAGCTCTCACTGAAGCAGGAAGGTGAGAAGGTGTGGCTCGCGGTGTGATACGCAGACTCTGCAGGCAGAAGCGGACCCACCGCCACCAGAGCATTCCCGGCCGAGACTTGCATCACTTTTGCATCAGTGTTACATCTGTTTGTGCAGTGCAAACCCGATTTGGTGCCAGTTGTTGCCAGGGCGACAAAAGCGTCGCCACCAGATGAGACTCCTGCGCCACCCGATGAGACTCCTGCGCCTCCCGATGAGACTCCTGCGCCACCAGATGAGACTCCTGCACCACCACCTGAGCCAGACTCTGCGCCGCCACCACCTCCAGATGGTGCCCCAGTTCCTGAGGTCGGGCTGTTTCATTTTTTCAATGTCTTGATATTTCCGACGATGCTCTTCGAGTCGCTGTGATTGAGTTTTGCGAGGCGCCACCCCCTCCGGGCAGCGAGTGCGAAGGCAATTGGTCTCGATTCACCAATCTGATGCTTCTCGCAGTCGCCAATAGCGAACAGCCTGAGACAAATCTCCGACTCGTCTCCGACTCGTCTCCGACTCGTCTCCGACAGGCTGCAAGATGCCTTTGTACAATTCCACATCCTCGAGCTCTTCCGGGCTCTGTGTTCCTTGCAGGCGGCTGTGATGTGCAGTCTGATGTGCAGTCTGATGTGCAGTCTTCGAGTCTTCGAGGCATTGAAAACACAATAAAACACAACAAAACACACGCAGGTTCAAAGGATGTAATCCGTGGCTCCCTGCCAAGAAGCTCCTCCACTGGAGCACGCTTAAGGCACCTTCGACATGATTAGAAAATGACAACACTGCGTCGCACGGCATATGTTGCTCAGGCTGGAGCTCCCAACATCATCAAGCTGCCAATCATGGGCTTCATAGAGTACAGGCGTGGCTCTGCAAGCATTCCGCAAGAGGGAATAACATTGCATCAAGCTGATTGTTTCCGGATGCAGTGCAGGACAGGGCGTCTGCTGCCTGACTATGTTCTGGAGGCTCTGTCCCCAGCTCTGCCATTATTTGTCATGCAGAGCCTTGGGATTCCCTGAATCACCAGGTGCGATGTTTGAGGGTCGATGCGCCAGAGTGGCGCTACGAGCTGGTTCACAGCTGGCCCCGTCCTTGGTATTTTTACCTGTTCGCAGCATGCAGAAGCAGCTGCTTGAGATAGCACCAGAATAGATTGGAACACATGAGCGGCTTTCTTCAGCACGTCCACAGGAATCAGCCCAGCAGGTAGCTCTCTTCTACCCCTTCTAGCTCCAGCCGAAGTATGTTCCACGTCTCTGCTACTGCCAGGCCAAGTGGAATCTCAATATTCGTCGGTGATCGCAGAGTTCTTGTGAAGAAGCCGGACGATGAACATTTCGAGGACATCTCAGTCTTTCCTTCTGTCGTCGCCACCACGAACGAATTGAATTAAAGGCTCTGCAACAGATTTTTTTCTCTGCAGAGGCGCCAGGGCCTTTCAACCTGACGGACTTTGTGGCGCGACGGCCACTGGAGGCGAGCAGCTGTGCAGGAGAACGACGATATACTTCTGAAATCTTGGTGCATAATTACTGAAAACACGTACAATGCATGCATGCATGCATTCATGCATTCATGCATGCGTATGCGTATACGTTTGCGTATACGTAATACGTACTTATGCACGCACGGGCATACCTACGCACATACACGTGCATATTCACATAGACATACGCATACACGTACCAGTTACGTACCTAAAAATGGATCATGTTCGGAACACCTTGAGCAGGTGTCCCCAATGCATCACCAGAGAAAGCGACTTCATTGGATGTGCTCCCGCAAGCTCTGTCACTGCCCCCTGCAGCAGCTAGCCTTGAGACATAGACACGGACGCACGCATGCTGACCCCCGACAGGGCTAGTTGAGTGCGCCTACTTTCTCTTTCACTGTCACTCTCGTCATTGCATGCCTGCACAAGCAAGCACGCTCCCAGGCCGACCCTAGTCGGCTGACAAAAAATGCATAGCTGTATAGGCTGTGAGTATTTGTGTCGGGGGCAGTTCGCCCTCTTGAGGGCCAGATCTTGTCGTGTGGGCCTTGGTCAGCGGGCTGCGCCTTACACGTACGGGCTGTGGGTTTTTTCTCCAAGACGAGGTTTTACCCGCAGCTTTTGTATAGTCGTTTGGTTCTGTCAAAGGTGGGATGGCTACTCTACTGCAAGTGACATTCACAGAGATTGGTGGCTGACAAATAAGCTTCTCGAAGACAGGCTCCTGAGATGCAAAACAGGAACACTGAAAGCTTGCCTTTAGATGAAATCGAATCCCGCGAGCTGAAAATATCTTCGCATGCTCAACGTCCATCCGAAGACGAATGATGCATGAGCGCATGGGTGCGCTGATGAACGCGCGCGCATGCCAGCGCGCGTTTTTTTGGCATTAGCATCAACAGTACTGGCAGCAGCAACAGCATCATCAGCATCATCAGCATCACCAGCATCACCAGCAGCACCAGCATCACCAGCATCACCAGCCACCGCGACCACTACAACGCCACCACCACCGCTGCCAACCACATTCACAGGAACCTTTTGCAGGGGTCTTCAGCCTGCTGCCCGCAGTCCATGTGGTAACAGCGGGCGTTACCAAACGTTCAGCCATTCCCGGTGACTGCAGGTCAACCATCCGATGCAGGCCGCGAGCATCTTCCAGGAAGCACAGCGGACTCATTGATACGTTGTGATTGCGAACGCAGGTGAATGTTGCCATAACGGCGAAGAAGACAGAGATCTGGGCCATTGGCAGCAGCCCTCAGGGGGGTGCAAGCCACTATGCACTTGTCTTTCTATCTGCTATTTTGTTCTCCCACCACCCTCAGAAGTAGGCGTGCTGCAAGCTACGTTGACTTGTGGGGGCGTCGTGGGGCCCCGCTGAACGTACAAAAACCTTCATGCCAGATTAGAGCAGCGGGGTGGCCGCACCGGGTAGGGCTGGAAAGAGATTCTCCAGGTCCAGTCAGGGATGTCAGCAGTCAACGCCTTGCCAACGAGTATATGACTTGTGCCGTGAGACTACTTACTTTCTCCGTTTTGCTTTTCTATTAAAACGAACAGAGCTGCTTCCTACGTTCGGTGCAAGGCTTTGTGCTGAGCCTGGGCGCGCTCAGGGATGATGAGGTCACTGAGCAGGCCGTTATTTGCAAACATGCAGTTACATTCAAGATGGCATTTCGTATCAGTTCGTACAGAAGGCATGGCCGATTTTCAACAGTACTCTCGAAGTCTGCGCAGGTGGCCCAACAGCAGCCGCCACTTGAGGAGCTTTGTGCACACCACATACGGCATGTGAGAGCAATCTCTTTTGAGACTTAAGGACCGGATGAAGCTTGATCTGGAGCGCGTTCGATTGCCCCCATTCTCAGCATGCCAGAAACGGGTGCGTACTCCCACGGACACTCGTTGCATGGAGAATTAGCTCAGGTGGGTCAACGAGCACAGACCTGATCGGGTGTCAAAGAAGGTGCCTTGTGACTTGCATTAAGTCACTGATGTGTAAGTGACTTGCCTCCAGGACACGCTGCGCTGTGTGGAGCCACCTGTACTGAAGCTGATTTGCTGCAGCACCAGCCTCAGCCTGATCAGAAGCCAGCTACTACTTCTAAGCGGCAAGTACAGTGCAAAGATGTGCACGCACTGGAAGTGAGTAAGCTTGGACCCGTGCCAGCTAGCCTGCTTCGAATCGAGCGAGCTGCACGAGGTTCCAGGCATGGCTCTTGTGTACGCAAAATTGAGCACTATGCCAAGCACGATGCCAAGCGCCATGCCAAGCACTGCAGCCAGGTGTGAGCATCTGCAATGCTTCGACTTGCACTCGTACATCCACACGATGCGGAGCATTCCGCCAAAACATGCCTGGCAACGGCCTTAGACAACAACAGTCCCTGGTATTCTGTTCATGTTCCAAGACTGTCTCGAGGTGTTGCCCTATCTGCGACCAACCTGCTGGACCTTAGAGAAGCAAGCGTGGTGAGTCAGCACTTGTTCCAGAAACAATTCTGGATGAGCATCAGCGTAAGGCACCACTGCATCAGCTCAGACTGGATGCCTTCGCACAGTGAGTCACTCAGCGCCGAAGGGCTGCAGCATGTCACTGCTGTCCATGTTGTTTGTTGTGTGAACGTGCGCCTCTGAATCCTTGTGACAGCTTAATATACTCAATGCCTTACATTAAGTCATGAATCGTAGTTGACTTTCTTGGGGCTGCCAGGTCTGTAGTGGACAGCACGGCAGCCAATGTCACAGAGGTGCTGGTAGCGGATAATGGTAAGTTCGAGGCGCGCAGCTGCAATCAGCTGCAATGAAGGCCGTCGGAGTGTCACAGACCGAGGTGTCTGCGACAGAAGAGCTGCAGCAGGACTCCTCAGACGAAGAGGCCCGGTCAAGCAGGTTGAGCAGATTGAAAAGACACGTAACTTAAGGCCTAAGGCCTAAGGTAACTGGAACTTCCATCCCGAATGGGTTTTTTGCACATGTATCGCCATCTATATCCTAATCAGCACACAGCAGCGTACGCATGTGGACGTTGTGTCGAAGGCCATCAAGGCGGAGCAGGCTGTGCAAGCAGCGGCTGCGGCCGGAGTACCAGTGGCACCTCGCTCCACTCCGGTCCTTCTGTCTCAGGCCATAACGATTCGCTCCACAAACAGCCAAGAGCACCGAAAACAAATCCTCCCTTCCTGTGATAGGCGGAGCTGCAGCAAGCTGCTCTGAATCTGGGTCGTGCTTTCTCAGCCCCTTGCAGTGCTGGATTGTCGGCAAGTCTTGCTGTGAGCTTGAAAGGCCAAGGCCAATCAATCATCAGAATTCGCGCGTGCATATGCGCGCAACTCTGGCAGTTCGTAGACTAGGGGTTTAAGAGTTGCAAGTCTAAGGCTCCAAAAGCGGCAGCTCCGCCAGCGCCAGCTCCAGAAGCCAAGCCCAAAGTAGAACCTCCGAAGGCCAAGGAAAGGGAAAAGCCAAGGACACCTTCACGGGACTGCTGTCATCTGCCATTGATCACACTGCTACTGTACGGCCGGGCATGTCAACCTGGTGTCGCGTACACTAGTGTGTCAAAGTGAAGCACAGGAGCCGAAGTCCCAGGCGAGGTGGTCAGGTGTGGACTGGGGGTTCGCTGTTGCTCTTGAGTGCCTTGTGTGTTCACTCTGACATACTCTGACTCTCATCATCATTTAAAATTTGATCTTTGATGCTGGGAAATCAAGAACGCAGGAGTCGCCTCCTCAAGAGGAGCCCGTCGCCTCTCCGGCTTGCTTGGCTTGCTGTAGCACTGTAGCACTGCAGCACCCTATGGTAGAGCACTAGAGCAGGAAAATGCACGTTGGGGAGATGCCAAAATGCAGCACAACTTGACAGGACAAGATGAAGGTCTGGAAAGTGCTACAGGGACTCGAAAAGCCTTTCGCTTGGAATTGACACAATGTCTCAGCGAAGGTGCAAAGAGCCATGAGTTACTAGCGTTTCCGAGGCCCCCAGAGAAGCCGAAAGAGCCGGAACCGGTGGAACCGGTGGAACCGGTGGAGCCGGAGCCGAAGCCGGAGGAGGAGAAGCGCATTGGTTGGCTACCCGACCGCCACCCAGACGTCCAACTTGCAAATCAGCTCTTCCATCAGCTCAGCGGCTCTTTCATCTCAGACTTCTTGCCAAATCCTGTGCTGATTCGATCTTGGCGACCGAGGACGGTGCGACATGCTCCCTGTGCTCAAAGCCGGCATCCGAATGGGTGGGGTTTACTGGGCTTAGACTCTGGATGCTCCTTGCACCAAGGACTGTTGTAGAGAAGGGCGGCGTGCACTGTGGTCGCAAGCGCTCTTCCGGAGACTTTGCAGGCTGCTTTGAGGCACTCTGCTCATCTCTGACTCATTCTGCCGATTGGAAGGGAAACACAATCTCGGACCTGCGCCAGCACAACATCGCCACCAACGGCTGATGCACACATCTTATGCACATTGGCAAAGCCCTCACACAGTGCTTGTCTTCTCCAGCAATGTTCTGGTCTGTAGTCCAACTCTTCAACGGTAAGCTCTCGTACGGGTGCATGTGACTGTCATCGATCATCAGCGTCAGCGTCGTCGGGGCATGTCTAGAATATTCAAGCGTGCCCAAAAGCTGTCACCACCCAACCGCACTTTCCTGGCGCAGCCGGAGTGCGTGTACATGTCCATTGGTGAAGATCGGAGGCAATCTGCTGGAAGTGCATGAACAAGCACAGAGCATGGGACTCAGCGTTGGTGAGTTCCTTCAGCTACGCTTGAAACCATGCTCCCGAAGCTTCCGTGCCCCAGGACAAGATCGGCAAGATCAAAACCACCAAGTCTGAGTTCAGCTCGCTTGGCGCTGGTGCCTGGTGGATGCACGAAAGGTGCATGACATCAGAGGCCCGGTCCTTCACTTGAGCTCATCATCATGTCCAGAAGGAGAAACCACGCACCGGTCGGGTTTCACCATAGTAAGTCTTTCGCCATGGCTCGGGCCGTCAAGAGTCCCAAGGAGGCGAACAGGGACATCAACAAGACACAAACAGAGAATCGACCGTGAGCACTGAAGAAGATGTTCAGGAAGAACGGGCGTTGATGCTCAAAAGAGGCTTTTTGAAAACTTGACCGCCGGAAACCATAACAAAAGGTACATGTAAACGATGGAATAGAGTGGGGAAATCGCAGCTTGAGTCGGAAAGGCTTAAGGAGAGGCTTGGGTCTAAACCTCGGGGACATCCTGGGACCAGGAGTTTTGTGGATGGTGCATTTACTTGATGTCCGACCTGCAATAACAAATCAGAAGAAACTGAGGCACCATGCCCTTGTGTGGGGCCAGCAGCCTGTCATTAGCAACCTGCCATCAGCCTTGTTGCCTGTCTGACGAAGCTTCGGCAGGACAAGAAGGATTATTTCGGCGAGGGTGAAGAGGATTGCTGTGAGACGTTGAGCACGGCAATATGCTCAGTACGCCTCTGTCAGGAGGAGGAGGAGGAAGATGAAAAGCCCAAGCGGCCGAGGAAGAAGTTCAAGGATGAGGACTCCCGCTTTTCAACTCCCAGGTGCTATAGACTGCTGGATACTGCTGGTATGTGTTTGCTTGGATCTCGCCTTTCCTGAAGAACAAGCCCCGCTCCACATGCATACTCTCGGGGTGTGAGCGGAGTGGAGCCAAGCCTATGCTTTCGTGCTCAAGATTGAAGATATGCTTTTGGCAGACATTGGCAGTTCCTGCTTTGCTTGACAGCCATTTAGGTTTTAGCTCTAGGGGCCGGAGATCATGAGGTTTGCACGACAAAACACGCTTTTTTTAATGTAGCACGTTGTGAATCATGCGCCTTCCCTCACCTACTCCAATTCGTGGACTGCTGCGCTGCCGGGAGCCTGGTGATGACAAGATCTCAACCGTTTCTCCTACGGCTGCAGCAGTCGCGGGAGCTTGGCGCAAATTGACGCGCAGGCTTGGATGCCGGCTTCTTTGCGCCTTCCTTCGAGGAGGTGCTGCGCAGTACTCCTCGCGCTTTCAACGTCTTCAAAGGTGCACTCCTCTCGCATATTGCAACCAGGAAGGCTACAAAACCATCGGCGATGTGCGGTGTGATGGCCGGGAGGTGCGCAGTGAACGAAGATAGACTCTACACTGTGGTGATGTGGTGCGTCGTGCATGTGTAAACTGAAGAGGCCGTGCACGAGTTTGTCTCGGCCCTCAGCATGCCACGTGGATCTGACGAACGCTTCATGCGCCTGTGCTTTCAGGCGGATCTGCTGAAACATGTGTGGCAATGTGGCAGCGATGGGATGGTGTGAGGGTTCTGCAAGCCATCATCAGGACGATGCGGAAGGCGCAAACGATGGTGGCAGTAGCGAGGCTGCCTCTTGTCCGAGTCTACTAGCTTTAGTGCATCTTAGACACCTAGTCTTTGCCATCATCCATGCACAATGATATTGATGTGCAACTGCAGAGCACTTGGGCTCAGGGCTCAATTGTTTCAGTGAAGTGCGGGTGCAACAGTCACCGGTTAAACGGCTCGGCTACAGAAGTCTGATCCTGATGGTCCGCTCTGTACTCCGCATTCCACTGTATTCTGCCCCCGTGTTCCACTGTGGTTGATTTAGGGTTCATGTTGAGAGCAGTTCAGGGCTTTAGGTTGTTTGGGTTTGTGTAGGGTTTTAGTGTTAATCAGGTTTACGGTTTACATGTTTTTAAGGTTGCTTCAGGGGTTGTAACATTACAACCTGTGATTTTGGCTGGCACTGCGCCACCTAGATATCATTAGAGAAGAAGCTGTGGGGTAGACTCTGTATGGAAGCTGCGCAAGTCCTCACGAAAACTTGCATAGGCATCTGAGGACTCTGCAGCTGCAGCGCTTCCATGCAGCACCGGAGACGTTGAGTGGCAAAAGGCTGTGATGCCACTGTACTCGATGCACATGGGCGCAGCCCTCAGTCCTAGAAGGCCCTCTGAGCGGAGCTTCCAGTGTTTAGAGCGTGTGCATGATTCACATTATCGTCTTATGTTGAGTGAGATCGTGAAACAAGGTTGCGAGAACATGGGTCCGCTCCTCCACAGCCTGACGCGCTTCGTCAAGCCACGATGCTGCCTGGAAGTCGGGGCAGGCCCAGGATCAGGAGTGGAAGTAATTAAAGCAGTAGTAACAACAAGTAGTACTTGTAGTACCAATCATAGTTGGCAGCGGTATTGGTTGTTGCGGTGTTGCTGCTGCTGCTGCTGCTGCTGCTGCTGCTGCTGCTGCTGCTGCTGCTGCTGCTGCTGCTGCTGCTGCTGCTAGTGTTGTTGTGCTCGCTGCAGCAGGGGCAGCAGTTGTTGAAGTTGTAGTCGTTAGTAGTTGCAGTAGTAGTCGTCGTGGAGGTGTTCGTCGTCTTGTACGTGCAAGTCGTGTTTGCGACGCTGTATTGAGCGTGTTTTTTTCAGAAGATCATGCGTTTAGCAGTGTCGTTGTCGTGCTTCACACGCTGGTGAGGGTTGCTCTTTTCTTTTGTATGTCTCCCGCAGGAGCTGCAGAAAATCAGCTGGACTAAAGTTTCTTGGTGGGTCATTCGTGGGTTAGCTTCTAGGGAGGCATTAGGGCGGGCAAGACAATATTGCTCCTAGACGGCAGAGGCTTGGAGCTTTGGCGGATTTCTAGTCGTTGCACTTGGTGAGCGGAGCGTGTTTTTCCTTCCAATTTCAAGCACCATCACTTGGAATAACAGCCAGACATATGCAAGCTTGAGAGTATAGTTTATCGTCACTGGGCGGCATACATCAAAATTATGAATTCTCTTGTGTCTCTTGTGTGCATGTTAGGAAGGCAGATGCATCATTCATAGTGTCATAATCAGGCACCACATCATAGGCTTGCGATCCAGAGAACGTAGGCTATTGGACGATGCAATATCGCATCAGGGTGTGCGCTTCGAAAGCAATCACAAGCAACAAACTCAACAAACACCACAATCAGAAAGCCCGATGAGCCGATGAGCCTGAAGGTCGAGAGACAAACCCAAGATAAACACAGCACGACATTAGAAGCAGGAAATGTTCTGTTGAGACTGCATCTACATTAAGCTCGGTTTCTGTTTTGCCTTGTGTGTTGGCTGCGTGGCTTTCTTGTTTTTGTAGCGGTCTGGCACAAATCCATTTACCCCAATCCTGCTTGGCATGGATGCGTGATGGTGCAACCTACCGTTGTTGTAAGTTCCAACTTTTTCACGGCGGGTGCGATCTTTCGCCTTCAGCCCTCATCTGCTGTCCATGCCAAAGCCAATCCGATGAACATGTTTTTAGAGACTTTGTCGCGGCTGCTGGGATGGGCTCGCGTTTCGGTTGATGAGAAGCCGCTTGTTTTCTTTGTGATGTGGTGAGAAAGGCTGGGAAACCAAGCTAAACTGAAACGATCCAGAAAGCCATGGCAATTCCGTGAGTCGCAGTTCATCATCGGAGAACCCGCAGGAAATATGCCATGGTTTGCTTCTGTTTCAAGCGCATCTGAATAATGGGAGTCCATAGGTAATGGCTTTCGTGTGAAACTAGAGAGACTCTTTCCAAGCGACAGTTGATTTCGGCGTAGGCACGCTGGGAATTGTGACCTTCGATTTCATCTCGAGAATAGGCAATATAGGCACAATGAACATCAAGGACGCACCATCATAAAGATGGCATAAAATCCAAGTGCGCCCGAACGAAATCTGCATCAATCGTTAGCAATTCTGGAAGCTCCCGGAACCTGTAGGTGTGCAGCTTCTGCACGCAGATGAGTGCTCGCAGATGGCACGTTCATGTGGAGCGTTGCAGGCTACACGTCGGCCTTCTTGCTGCAAGCATTAGAGGACACCTTGGCGCTGCTGCGTTTGGGGCAAGAGTTGTAGAAACTTCCGCAAGGACAACTGGCGGGAGATGCAGTTCTGGGAGTCGTGGCGAAGCTCACAGTCATCAAAGACTTCAAACACGTCTGGACCCACCCCAGAGAGCTGGCTGGTCGGCATCTTGGATGGAATTGTGCAACGTGAAAATGATGAAAATGGTCATGTTCAAGTTATGTATGCCTGTATGCCCGAGCTCAATGTTTCCTGACTGCAGGCGGATCTGGTTCGCCTATCGACGTGGAAGGCACTTTCATGGATGCTTTGAGACCCCACATTTTGTGAGTTGCCCAGACATGCACATATCAAGCTTCAAGGGCCTTGTGAGGGTGATGTGCCGCCGTGCACCAGGTGGAGTGTTGCATTGCGTCGACAACTTTGCTCATCAACACACAACCGCACCAGAGCTTTTCCGTGTAGCGCAGCGTCAGCTCCTTAGGCAGTTCAACCAAGTTTAGCTTGTTCAGCTGTGCTGACTGACTTTTGTGCCCAGACCGAGTGACCGCGAATTCGTGCAGAGGTTTTACGTTGGTATTGCCTACCCATTTGCGTAAAGCCTCAACAAGGCCTATGTATTTCCATCTTTTTGTTCTTGTACCTGCTGGTCTGCTCCTGAGGTTTGGGAATCCAACATCGATTGAGGCTCTTGGCAGTCTGGTGCATAGGTCGCGCAACAGTGCGCTTCGCAGCTGTTGTGCTGGGACTCCTTCGACTGGTGTCGTTTAGGCTCAAGACCGGCTTGTAGCACTTGTAGCCATGACAGAATATGTGCACTTGTTCCAGTCAGCCGCTTGCCTTAAACTAAAACGTTTTCTCTGCTGACTGAAGGCGAGTGCAGCATGCGGCAGCTTGTGACAGCATTCTCAGGTCGTCCCAGAACGGTACGAGATCCGCTTTGATTTTCGCAAGTTGGGGGCAAATGAAACCTTCACTGGACATTGGAAGGCGCAACTAGACCTCAAGATGCTCGGTCTTGTTGAGCCTACTTAGAGGGCCTACTTAGAGGGCCTACTTTATGTCCATTTTGAACAGTTGGGGAGGTTTGAAGATGTTGGAAGCATCTGGTGGCCCTCAATCTTCGGTAACATTGCGACGGTATCTTTTTTGCATCGTACCGCAACAGGAAACCCTCAGACTCGATTCACCTCCATGCCAAAGCAATCCAGATTGAGTCTGCTGTGGCAACGACCGCGACAGCGGAAGCTGTGCCGTTGAAGACCTCAACGATCCAGGAACCTGGGTGCCACGTTTCATATTTTCTTGAGGTTGCAAGGCATGCTTGATTTCTTGATGTTTCTTACTACTGCTCCGATTGGTCAGTTGCCCACCTGCATTGTCTACCTCAAAGAAGCATCGCGCACCTGGCGCGGAGTGGAAAACGACCTGAAGCCGAAGCCATATTGCAAAGGAGCAGTGGGGGCAAGCCGGGCAAGAGGCGGTGAGTAGTGAGTAGGTGCAGCCACATTCGGGGTCGCAGGTACTTTTCGAAGACATGCGAAGACTGATTAGGCGAAGACGCGTCGCAAGGCCAAGCCACACTGGGAGGCGAACGCGCATTGCGAACCGCATTCGCCAGCGAAAGGTCTGGGCGTGCGAAGACCACTTCCAAAGAAACATCTAGGACGACGAAGTCAGGCATCGATGTGGCTTTACAACTCGGTGTCAGGCGGCAACAATGGCAACATGGTGTCAGAATGCAGCAGCGTCTTCAGGCTGCAACGTGGCGTCAGACAATATGGTGGCATCGGAATGTGCGTCGTCAACCGCAATCCGGGTTCAGTAGTAGTCCGCCGCTAGTCATTTCGCGCCCCCTTGTCCTGGGCTTTCTCCATCCCCTGCTCAAGATGAATATGCTGAAGCGGGCATATCGAACCTCATCAACCAAACAGGACGCGTCCGAGACCATTGTGCTTACCTTCGCCAAAGAGCTCATGGGGATGATCAGCATTGAGTGCAACTTCAATGGACGAATTCGGGGTCCGCTGAATGGTGTATACCACTGCACTTTTGAGAATGGCGATGCGGGAATTTCGACCCACTTCGAGCCTATCTACGCGAGATATGCACCCCAGTGGCAGCGCTAGCGTCTGTATTTGGAATTTTCCATGCTGTGACAGCCAAGAATTGTGCACAACTCCATTGCATGGTACTTGTAGCTGGTGACAAGTTTGCTGGTTTTCTTTTTGCACGGCATGGCTTCTGTCAACCGTGCAAGGCTTTTCCTTGCATCGACGAGCCGCGGGCGAAAGCTCGCTTCAAGATATCGATCATTGCCCCTAGCAAGCTGACTGTGGCTTGGCCATGCTTGGCCTGTCACTACATCGCATACATCGCATACATCGCATGTCGCTCGCAGCTGATACCGAAAGGTTGTCTCCAACATGCCTGAAGAGCTTGCCAAGCCGGTCGAGTCGTCAGGGCAAGATCTTTTGACGGAGCATGTGTTCGCATCGGCCTGATTTGGCATATCGGATTTGGAACGCACTGCTTGCCGGCCTGTCACAGAAAGTTAAACCGGAGAAGCGAAAGAAGCTGGAGCTGCAAACTTAGGCTGAGACGCCTCGGATGTCCACATATTTGCTCGGCTTTGCTGTAGGAGACTTCTCGACCATCCGCCTGGAAGATGGAAAGGCACCTGTGCCAATGGCCTTGTATGCCCAGCGCGGCAGAGAGCCACAGCGAACGAATAGCATGCAGGTTTGTTGAATTTTGTTGACCTCGGCCAGTTCCATTGGGTTGGATTCGCACTCGGTGGAACTTTTTCAAGGGCTCTGAGGATGCTACGCCAATTTCGAGAGACAACGAAGATCCACAAAAACACCCGCAGTCCACCTCGCTGACAAACCTTCAGCAAAAGCACCTTAGCAATGAAAGAGCCAAATACCCCTCTCGAGTGCGTATCAGTGGGAAGCGAAGAATCGTTTGTTCTTCGAACTGCGTCCCGTGAGTCCAGGGTGCAGCTGACCGGCCTCTCGAGCCGAGCATTTCGGATGTCAGTCGGCCAGGGGCCTGGTCCCGTGCTGCACAGCTCAGGAACGTTTGGGAAAGTTTGCCCTCGACATTGCTGCTCATAGCTTGGCCTTCTTTGAAGAGTTCTTCAAGTTGAAGTTCCCCCTGCCGAGACGTCGCTGCACTTCGTGCTTGATGTGCTGCATGCCGTGCTGCGTTGTGCAACATGTCATGCAGTGAGAAGAGAGAGTGAGCCGAGGAAGCTGGACTTGGTAATTCCACCAGCTTTTCCAATAGGCGGCATGGACTCACGCTTAGATGCGCTTCGCAGAGTTGTTGCTTACTGCTCACTTCAAGATATGCCCTAAGCGGCTCACACTGAAAGTGAAGTCCGGTGCAAGTCTTTGTCGCCCAGCGAAGCGGCGCAGGGCAGACTAACTTTTTTCTCTCTTTGCCTTAGGAGAATTGGGGGTTCATCACGCTCGTTGACCGTGCGTTGCTGGAAGATGATGCCTCTCTTCGAAAGAAGCAGACTGTCGTCACCTGGACGAAAACGAAAGAGGGCTGAGTCCGCTGAGGCTGAGTTCCTAGTTGAGAGGGGGTGGAGATGTTTACGGTGGATACACATGGCATATCATGACATCACACCGCGCTAAGGCCTCCTTGGTGGCCCACGAGGTGTCTCACATGTGGTTTGGCGATCTGGTAACTCCTCAGTGGTGGGACGACTTGTGGCTGAAGGAGGGCTTCGCATCCTGGGTGAACCTTTTGCCACTTGAGGCCAGAGCAGCGTTGCTTCAAAATGTGCAACGGAGCTGTGTTGTTGCAGACCGAGTCTTGATGATTCTTCTTGCCGTGCCTGGAGTCTCTCTGACCATCTGTCCTTGCCTTGCGAGGCCCGGTACCCGGAATGGCGTGTTTGGGACAGCTGGGCGCTCTCACTGCTGTACGGTGGCAAGTCGGAAGGTGCCTTGGAGGTGGACCAGTACGAGGCAACGCACGCGATAGAAGTGCCGGTGAATCATCCAAGCGAAGTGCAGGACTTCTCGGCGCACTTTTTTAAATTTCTCTGCTGTCGTGCGCATCTCCGTGCATCTTGAAAGCTGCCAGATCTTGAGATGCTTTGCATCGTACCGCCTCAGGAGATATTCGATGCATTGAGCTATAACAAGGGTTCTGCGGTCGTGAACATGCTGTACCACTCCTTGGGGCATGCTACATTCCAGAAAGGGCTGTCTGCGTGGCTAGATCGATACAAGAGCCGTGGATCAATTTCGTCGGGATGGCATGGTAGACATCAGACCTATTCAGACCTTTAAAGGAGCCAGAAGAGAGCCTCTGCCAGGAACACGAACTCGACCACTGCGGAGCTCTGGGCATCTTTAGCAGCAGCTTCTGGACAACCCGTGGAAGAGCTCCTGGGCATCAACATGCTCTCGCACTTCCGAAAGCTTGCGGAAACGACACTCGCATGCTTCTTGACCAAGAGATCACTGCTTATCATCGCGCATCGCTGCGCTGAGGATGATGTCTAGCTGGACGAAGCAAATGGGATTTCCTGTCTTGGAAGTACGTCTCGGTCGCAGCCTTTGCGCTCACAAGTGGGCCGGGAAACGGGGCTGAGGCGTGTTGAGCAAAAGGCATCGTTATGTGGCCAATTACAGTCTTTCGGGTGGTGTTATGGGATGCTGTCTCAGGCAGCTCAGCGGATAGCTGGGAAATTTCGCAGCGGCGCTTTTCGCTGCCGTCGGGCAACTCCCAGGACTGCCCCGGAATCAAGGAAGCGACCGCCAATGGGGCAGTTGTCCGCAGGTTCATGGTCTACTTCATGCTGTTTTTGTATCATGTTGTAAACATTGAAACCCATTTCTCCCACCCCCACCCTCCATATGAAACGGGTTCGCACCAAAATTGCTTTAATATTGGCAGGTCTCCAGATATGTGTCTTTTCTTAAGAAGGGGGTTAGTTACTGAACTGACTGTCCTGGAGGAGAAGCGACAGAGGACGAGCACATGGACCGTCCCCATACTTGTTGCACATGCAGACGCTCCAGATCTTGTGGAGCGCGTGTCCCTTACCGGCGCAACGATCACCGTTCCCCGCAGAGGCAGCTTGGCCCATTTTGGCCCTCCCATGAGCTTATTGTGATCGGAGCTTGTGTTCCTGGGATTTCTTGCTGTCTCGCTTGCAGGCAAGTGGATCAAGGTCAATGCTGGGATACGTACGCCGCTCCGTGTGTCTTACACTGTGGACCTCCTTCGAGACCTAATACATGCAGGACGGACATGCGATTTTATAACCCGCACTTGTTCTTTTGTTACCCGTGCATGTGAATGCATGGCTGCATGGCTGCAGTTTGAGAAGATGCTTCTTCTCCATCCGTTCAGGCCCTGCCCTGCGGCCCCTGGACCGCGTTGGGCTGGTAGATGACAGTTTCGCACTTGTGCGTGCAGGCCACTTTCCCCATGCAAGACCTGTGTTTTGAAGCTGCTATGAATGTTCAAGTAGCACCCCCCTCCCCCCCCCAAAGGATGTAGTGTGCAGTTGTGACACTCTACGCGATGCCATGTGGGTGTGCAGAAGCGCATCAACTACAGAATCCTTAAACCCCCCAAAATAAGGAATAGATAGGATGCAGTTTCATGCGAGATGTATGCTTGAGTGCTGACCCTCTGGAGGCATGATGGAGCTGGGCACGCTGTTGTCGCTCTTCAAGTCGTTGCTTCCGTCCGAGGGTGATTCTTTGGCCTGGGTCGGGCACATCAAGATACTGCGCAAGGCACCTGAGGGAGCTTCCTGCTGAGCTGAGTAGCTTCTAGCCCAATTGCCACGTATTGATTCGTGGCTGCGCAGAAGTGCTGAGGTATTGAAGATTTTCGGCGATGATGTGTCGGCCTTGTCAGGGTTCATCTGTGACTTGGTCATGCCACTCAAGGACAGCTCAACTGCTGCGCTCGGGATCCTACATTCGTACGAGTTCGCACCCCTTCTAGCTGGGCATCAACTTTTGTCAAGGAGCGGCTGGGCTGGGAGGAGGTTGACGGTGAAGATGCATGGGATGCACTGCTCCGGCCAGAGGCCGGATTTCATTGCCGACATGAGGTTACGTATTGGATGTTCACCTAAGACTCCTAAGACGTGCTTTCATATAAGCAGAAGCTCTGCTGAACAGTGAAGGTTCTCTCACTCTTGGGGGCGTGCCAGGCCGGTGTGAGCAAAACCAAGCGCGAAGCTGCTCACATGTCGCAGAACACGATTCCATCCTTTTTTGAGGTGTTTCACAAGTGAAGCTTTTGTCCAACAGGAGCCGGTGGTGTGCCGGGAGTCCATCCAACACTGCGAAACATATTTGTGCACGACGCACCCGAGACCACGGGGCAAGCCGGGCAAACTGAGCATGAAGGCATCCTACGAGTCCGCGTGCTCAATCTGTGGAGGCACATCTGCTTGAACGTGTTGCAGTGCACATAGTGCGCATCACATAGTGATATAGTGCGCTGTCTTCTTGAATCCCATGGCTTAGATCCGAGGTCTAGACGTTCCCAGCTCTGCCGTGCGGGGAGTAGCTCTACAAGTTGGTCTATCTTCAAAGGGTTCTCTGTGGCACGGGATGTCCTCTCGACTACAAGCAAGCAAAAACACAGAGGAACGTGATCAGCTGATCCTGGCAATGATGGGCCATGAAGATGCAGAGCAACTCAAGGAATGGGTTGCTCGTGCTCTCGGGGATGCTCTGGGGGCTTCTCTCCCCAGTCAAGAATGGGCGACCATGTTTAGTGGCCTGGCAGCAAACCACCACCACAAGCGCCTGGCATGGAACCTGATGACGCGGCACTGGCAGAAGGTGTATGAAACGTGGGGGCAATCACAGTTCAAGATGAAATCCATTGTTGCTGCTGCCATGACCAAAGCCGACATCCATGAAGTGCGGAGCTTCTTCACCGCCAATCCTTGCAGCTTGGCATACAGATCAGATGCCAATTTTCAAGTGGTAGCAAGATTCCAACAAGCAATGGCATCTGAGGCGATGTTGCCAAGCGTAGTATCGAGCAGGGTCTCGAAGGCTTGGCGGCAGATGCCGAGCTCCATTCCATGGCTGAAGTCGTTCAACAACTCTTGCACACCGAGCCTCGGCAGCAGTCAATCAGGATCAAGGAGATAGTTAGGACGCTTGTTTTGCTCTCGTGGCTGCATAAGAGTGTCAAAGTCTGCTTCAGCGGCTTCAGCGTCTGCGCATCTTTGAGAACAATTCTCAGGGCGTTTCGGCGCTGTGATGCGCCGTGATGAAATGATGAGAGGTAGGAACTGAATCGACGGACTGAGTCACGGGGAAAGCGCCGCAAGATGCACGAGATGCGTCAAGATGCACGCTCCTCCGCAAAGGTCAGTGTCGTCATTTTGAGCTTTTGTGAGGCAAGCTCAGGCAAGGCCGCAAGGCTTCAAGTTCTGGCATCTTGCCTTGGCATTGCAAGAGCATGCGCAAAGAAGGTAAAACAATGCGTCTTACTACTCCAAACCTCTGTATTTTTATGACGATGTTGGCACCGTGTGGCACAACATGGCACAACTGCGACCATCTCCTGAAGGCTCCACCTCGACGACGCAAGAGCTTTTCTCGAAGAGTCTGGGCACCTTCACTTTGATTTCGTCTGGCTGGACATGAGAGTGGCAGCGTGTACAATGCAGAATAATGTAGAGATGCGTAGAGCCATGTAGAGCCGCTGTAGAGATGTGTTGGTTTTCACCGACGTGCAAGCGGTAGACAAGCAGCTTGCCCAGCTTTTGCAGGATGGATTGCTGGACTTTGCACCACCAGTGAATGGAAATGTAAAGGCAGGTCCCCCAGCGTAAGAGAGAAGGTTTCCGTCTCTAGCCTTTGAACCAGAGCGCTCTGCCCAGGACGGCATTGACAGCTTCCTGTCGCTACTTTGGCCTCGAGTTCTTCCCGGAGGCTTAGTTCTGCCACTCGGGAGCAGACAACTGATCCCAAAGTGTTATTATTATCGATGCTTTGAGCCCAAATAGCCCCAGGTCCTCTGACGATGACTGGGGACTCCACAAAACCGGTACGATGTTGTTTGGTAGTTGTTTTTTGTACTTGTTGCCTTCATGCGAATTCTATAGATGGCATCGAAGGCTCCACAGCACTTTGACGAACAGCGCTGTTCGGGAATGGGTGGACTCTGCGCTGTTCTTAGCATTCGCTACGCGTTGTCATTTTTCGACCCGTACCCCGCATCAGAGCATCTAATTCTCGAAGCGAAGTCTCAGGCAGCCAAGTCGCTGCAGGGCACACCGGGTGCTATGTTGAGCCTTTTAGAGTGCTTCAGTTGCATTACGAGCAGTCGATTGTTGAAACGGGGTTGCTTCAGAACCAAAGGCTTGCGTACGTCGGTGAGCATGCGCATAGAGGCATAGGATGAGTTTCACTGAAGTCCACTCCAGGCCCCACAAGAAGTTTCAGAACTCGGTCAGCATCCTGCAGAAGAGGCACCAGCTTTGGCTGCTGCCAGAACCACAAGGGACAAAGGAAGTCATCTACTAGCAATCTGCTCTCAAGGGGGCATGTTGGTTGGCCTGGTCTCCTAGCTCCAATCAGCTGTTGAAAACCCATGAATCCAGAAGTTAAAAAGAATTAAATCCTGATTTAATTGTTGCTTCTGGGTTGGGTTTTGACCTACCTCGACATACCTTATCCCTACAAAAACACAATTAAATCGTGATTTAATTGTGTTTCTTTGCGTTTGACTGGAAGACAATTAAATCGTGAGTTAATGGTGCAGCAAAGACTTGTGCTAATTGGTACCTGTTTGCACCATTAAATCATGATTTAATTGCACTATTATTATTGCTATTACTATTAGTCTTATTATTACTATTACTATTAGTCTTATTATTCCTATTACGATTAGTCTTATTATTACTATTACCAATTGTCTTATTATTGTTATTATTAATATTCTTAGTATTATTATTACTATTACTATTATTATTCCTATGATTATTATGTTTACTACTATTATTATCCTTATTCTTCTTCTTATTATTATTTTCTTATTACTATTACTATTACTATTACTATTACTATTACTATTTTATTACTATTACTATTACTATGACTATTACTATTACTATTACCAATACCATTACTATTACTATTGCTATTGCTATTGCTGTTATTATTATTATTATTATTCTTGTTGTTACTACTATTATTATTATTCCTATTATTATCCTTATTATTATTATTACTATTACTATTTCTATTACTATTACTATTCTTCTTCTTCTTATTGTTACTATTATTATTATTGTTCTTATCATTATTATTATTCCTATTATTATCATTATTACTATTACTATTATTATTACTATTACTATTACTATTACTATTACTATTACTATTACTATTACTATTACTATTACTATTACTATTACTATTACTATTACTATGATTTTTATTACTATTATTATTGTTACTATTACTATTATTATTACTATTATTATTACTATTACTTTAGGGGGAACAATTAAATCGTGATTTAATTGTTGAAAGGTAGGGGGGAACAATTAAATCGTGATTTAATTGTTTCTGCGGTTTGGGATCGTCTAGCAGAAACAATTAAATCCTGATTTAATTGTTTTCCTTGAGAAGCTTGCCGGCATGGCATGCTGCGTCGCGCGACGTCAACAGGCAATTAAATCGAGAGTTAATTGTGCTGGACCTAAGGGGCGTCGAGCCGGCCCGATGCCGGTCAATTAATTTCAGAGTTAATTTTCCTTAACTCTTGGATTCACTGTCTTCCATCAGCTGTTTGGAGCATCTACTGTAACCAATTTAGTGAGCCTGCTCCCTGGAAGGTCTGATGGTTTTTCTGAGCCGGTCTACTCTAAGTTACCGTGAGCCTGCGAGAAAACATCCTGCTCGGACATGATCCGCCAAGCTGCTCTCCGCCTTTTTGGTCTTGCACTAGTACGCTTGCTGCTTGCTTTGAAGCCCTTGGGAACGTATGAAAGGAGAACGGAAAGTTTGCGTGGGAGTAAAGAGCGGCTTCCGGAAGCAGGACAGAATGTTAAAAAGGACTTCCTTGGTTTTAGGACTTCACATTGGCACATTGGGCATCAGCCAACAGGAGACTCAGTAGACATCAAATGACATCAGCAGACCTCCGACGCTGCCCTGTTCGGAGGAGAGTGCGGACAAGCGGAGTGCCGACTGGTGCCATGCGCCTTTCTAACTCCAGGGCGTGCTGGATGCCAGAAGGCGAAAAGAGGTCATTCTACATGCGTGAGACATTCTTTGACATTGGATGTTTTGTTGTCTTGTCGTGCAACAACCTGATGGTGTTCCAGCAATTGTATGGCCCAAGTCGAAAGGTGCTTCAAGCAGGGTATACGGCTACACATGACCAGTTGTGCAGTGATGATGGCAGGGAATGTGAGCAAGGTGTTTAGAAGTCACTGCTGCATAGCTGAAGCCACGCAGTAGCGACACATGAGCCTTATAGTCACGGACCCGCATCTGGACCAAGCCCATCGTCACCACACTATAGCCGCAAGTTTCTGTTAAAGCTCCTGCAGCTTGCTGAAGCACTGTCTCGAGCCAGAGTCAGCTGCACAGCTTCTGATGGTTTACCCGTTTACCCGCTGCAGATTCCAGGCGCTGATCATCAATGCCCAAGACTTACTGCAGATGGCACGAGCTTTGCGTCCTGAACCATCATATAAAGAGAGAGCACTCGCTCCAGCTCGTTCTCATAAGACCCAAAGAAAGAGAACCGGGCAGTTGCCATAGCCTTTTGCACTTAGGTTTTGCTGGAGTCTGGCACTGAGATACCACAGATGCCCCCCAAGAGCCAGAACACTGGCAACTGAGCACTGCAGAGCACTGGGCAACTGAGGCTTACGCGCCAAGCCCCCCCTCCGGGGCCCTGAGCGCACCTTGAGCAAGGAGAACAGCCGAGTCCCGAACTTGGGAGATGTCTGGAATCTGTGGCTGCTTATTGGACCAGAGCTTGGTGAGTGTAGCCGTTCAGAATCATCATTAAATCGCTGTCGTCCACTTTCTGTGTGCGGGGCGCGAGAGTTCTTCTCCCCATCACTTTCTCAGAGGTTCGCCAGAGCATCCGGCTGGAGAGAAGGAGTGTTCCCCCAGAAGTTCAGCGCTTGAAAAGGGCTAAGTTTCACGCTTAGCTTCGCTTAAAATGCTCAGAATGACAATGAGTCGAGTGACAGCGCCAAGTGTTTCTGATCATTTCGCATGTAGCCACGCTGCTGACAGAAGTAGATGTTGCAGGAGTCCACAATCTATGTTGGACATTCTATCGCCAGCAGTAGCGGCATCACATGTGACCTCGGGGGCCCGGGGCATTCTCTGGTTATGCTGGTGCTATATGCCTTGCTATATGCCTTCGTCCGCTATTTGGTATGTTCACTTCGACAATGCACCTTCCAACCGTGGCGCGCCACCTTTGGCAAATTGGTTTGTGCTTTTTGGGGGCTTGACCTGGATGTACACGTACCTTGCAGTACCTTGCTCTAGGTCTGTCTAAATTGTCTTTTCCATTGTGCAGGACCAGTATCATCTCTGAGGCATCGAACTCAACTCTCGATCACAGGAGGCAGACACAGCTTTGAAGTCGCGATGGACAGGCTGATTTGGAGCAAGTCAGATGGGATGCTCGACAGTCTTGCCGTCTTGCCTTACGTGAAGCATCTCAAGCATGTGCAATTGCGAGGCAAAGGCCAGTAGGGAGTAGCTGCTGGTAGCGGTGTGCTGGCAGGGATGACGTTGCCAGAAGCTTGGCACCCCGTGCGTGAAGCGCGCAGTTGCTGCCTTCGACTTTTCCACTGGTTGACCAAGGAGGTATCTCAGCCGTATCGTCGAATCATTCAAGAAGCCAAGCACTGCATTGGGTATGGAGCCTCTCGAGGCCACAAGACGCTTCGGGTTTGCCGAGATACTTGTCCAGATGCACGTGCTGGATGTATTTAGACGTGTTTTGAGGTTTTAGGCTACACAGCAAAGCCACGATTGTGTCTTCGACCCAGTGAGCACCTTCTTTGAATCTGCAGCCGCTGGAATGCAGCTCTGATTTGGGAACTGGTTGCCAATCGGCCCTCAACTAGACGGCACCTGGAAACACCCTTTTAATGCTTGAGACTTAGTCTTTGGAGTCCTTGGTCGCTGCATCTGGCACGTCGAAGATTGTCGAACAGACCCCAAACCATGGCACCCAGTGGGTGTGTATATATATATATATGTTCATGCACTTGCTCAGTTGCATACCATTTATGGATATGTTTCGTTATGTATGTGTTTGAACGATATGATATAATTCTGATGTACGGTAGTATGATTTGACACATGTCCATAATACAGCTCAATATATCTTGCAGAGTCGGATTTTTGGCAAAATCGGTATATTGTATAATCGTATAAAACATTTTGCAAAAGCAAATGCAAGCCCCCACAGTAGTGCAGGCGCGGGTTTGGTATGTTTTCAGCAAAGGGTCGGCCGCCTTTGGTCGCCTCATCTCAAGCGGTAAGTCAAATCCCCAACTCCTGGCCAAATTGGATGTGGAGTTCAGAAAGTCGGGGTCACATGGGAGCATCGGAAAGCGAAGCAAAACAAAACACTGTCAGCAGGCAGCTTTCGATCTTTTCGCGAAAGGCTTTGTCACTTTGTGTGTCGGATGCATTGAGACAGCTTTACACACAGTTCCATGTATCACATCAGCGGTCCTTTGTTGCGCAGTGCTGGGCCAATCTTGACTGCACTCCAAGAGCATATGCCAATGTCGGCATCCCGGCTTGAGCTCCCAGTTGTCAATTCCCGGTGTCTCCCGTAGAACTTTGGCGAACTCGTTGAAGGGAGTTCTGGGGGCTACGCGACTTGCACTGGTGCAGTGTTCGAGCTCCCAGCAAGAACGAATACAGAACCACGTACACGCAAACAGAGACGAAGAGAGTGCGAAACACCCTCCCGAAAATCCATATGCAATGTAAACCCAGGTCCTGATCCAGGAACAAGACGGAGAAAAGGGAGTGCGTGCGGCCGGCAAAGCTGTACTAGAACGAACGCTACACGCAACAAGGAACATTGCGGCTGGCATCAACAAAGAGGGTAGTGCCGATGGATCTGTATCGGCAGCAGATTATAGGTTGGCTGCATTGATGTCATCATGCGGCTGTTCCTGTGCGTTTGTGCCAGGCAGCTTTCCTGAAGAGCGACAGCCCCATGCCGTGTGAGCTTTTGTTCATGTTGAATGATGCATGCCCGAAGTAAGACATGCGGACCAGGTGGGATGCGCAGCTTCTGGTTGACTGCGGAGTCACTGCTGCTGGGCTCTCACTGCACATCAGACTGAGATGAGCTGCAGCATGAGCTTTGCCCAGGAGGGCCAAAGAATCGTTCTCTTCACTCCGGGGTTTTTGCAGCCTGGGCCTCTGTGCGCACCACACAGTCACCACATGTCACCACACACTTGGATACGTCTTTGTGTTTACTTCGCGGCCCGCCCAGAGCCTCGGGTGCCCAAGGGACAACAGGTCCCAAGACTCAAGACTCTGGCCGAGTGTGTTGCGGTCCTGGTAGCGGGGCCCTAGGGTTCCCAGGGCCCAAGATTCCTCAAAGCCTGACGCTGACCCTAATTGCCCTCTGACCCCAGCGCACCTTCCGCAGGGGCTGGTCGGCTATATGAGTCTATGAGGCATTTCTTGCCTGCTTTCGACAAATCACTCTATTAAGGCCCATACTCGACGATGCTGATGAGCTCGACCGCGCATTCCACTTTCTGTTGTTGCTCCTTCCTCAGAGCTTCTCAGACACGAAGGTTGGCTGCCCGTTCCAACTGCAGCAGCTACTGTTATATTCAGGCACATGGATGAAGTTGCAATGCAGAAGAAGTACATCTTTGTCTACTGCTGCCTTGGAATGGCCCGCGTTGCAGCATGTACTGTATGATCATGTATGCATGTTCTGTCCTGGCGTTGGGAGCAGGATTGGTCTGCGCAGCTGCTGGCAGAGCGCCTTCAGATCGCTTTTGACATTCTGCAAGTCCCTCAAAGTTACTCAGTTGCTGATGTTCAAGAGCATTCACCTTGCTTGCCTTTGCAGCAGGGCTCCATGCTGAGGCCCAGGAAGTACACAAAGAATTTGAAACGCTTCTCGACAAAATCACTGGTTTGCTGCATATGATGTGAGCAAACACGGCGTAGTGCAACGCCCTGCAAAGCCCAATGCAGAGGCTTCTACGTCTTGCACGCTACAAGCTCGCCGAGCTGGCTTCTTTCAGAGTTTAAGAGGCTCTAGGTAGTGAAGGACCTGAAGGAGAGGAGGACATGCCACCAACAAGTGTCGACTGCGACGTGAAAGGACGCATGTAACGATGTGGTCCTTCTACGTGCGCCTCCAAGTCGCTGCAGAAGCTTCCGTGGAAAGGAAAATGCATAGAACTGTCAGTGAGCTGATGCCCTGTAACCTTGGAGTAACTTCAGAAGGCGTGGCTGACGCCACAGTTCTGGGACAAGATCCAATTCGTAAACAGCATCGAGACTATCTGTGAGGAGCGCACCTGCTGTGCGAAAGCACTGTGGAGTTCGAGCTGTTGTCGGCTATGCCTTACGGTGGCCTACTAACCTCTATTGAACCAGCTGACTGGCAAGGACTTGTATCCAAACGACGAGACGTCTCAAGCAGAGCTTCGGCGTCGCTTCCCACAGGTATGCTATGCCGTTGCGGGCAACATGCAAAGCTTCGGCAAGTTCTGGAAGATACTCCGGTAGACTAGTCAGGCGGATGTGATCGATCCGACTTCTTTGTAGGTCATTCAGCGGCAAGATGCTCTCCGCAACGGCGATGATCCACCTGTCAACTTTGGTGTTCCGATCAGGCACCGATT